TTATATATATTTATTAAATGAATAAATATATAGTCTACTGACTGTCTACATAGATGACACTTTTACAATAGTTTACGTTGTTTACACGTAAACGTAGAGTATTATATTTTACGCGTAGATGCACAACCCTGCCTATAACCTATAATCTCTTCTCAAGGAGGATCAAAACAAATTAATTACAAGACTTTAACGCGCGCTATATTCCCCTTTTCGCACAGGCTATCATATGGGATCAGTCGTTGGCCGGACCGATCGGTCTTGTCGCCAAGTACAATTTGCTGGAGGAGTACGGTGTTGTGAAGATGTACCCGCTGTACGGCGGGACTTTGACAATGCCGTCTAACATTGCTAATGTCATATTTATCTCGAGGCCACAGTTGGAGCTTATGGACCTGATTGCCGAGAATGTTCACGGGTGGGTGTGCAGCGAATATATTACCAGATAGTATGCAATTTTAACGTATCTAATGTTCGACGGTATCAACAAAAGTCCTGAGACTAGTCACATACGAATGAGATACTGCTATTTTTTAATTTGATTATAATCTGAATTAAATTCACGGATGGGTGTACTTACAGCGAATATGTTACCAGATAGAATACAATTTTAACATATCTAATGTTCGAAGGTATCAACAAAAGTCCTGAGAGTAGTCATGTACAAATGAGATACTGCTATTTTTAAATTTGATTATAATCTGAATTAAATTCACGGGTGGGTGTACTTACATCGAATATGTTACCAGATAGAATACAATTTTAATATATCTAATGTTGACAATATCATAATTTGACAATATCAACAAAAGTTCTAACTCCTGAGACTAGTCACGTACAAATAAGATACTGCTATTTTTAAATTTGATTATAATCTGAATTAAATTCACGAACGAGTGTACTTACATCGAATATGTTATCAGATAGAATACAATTTTAACATATCTAATGTTGACAATATGATAATTTGACAATATCAACAAAAGTTCTAACTCCTGAGACTAGTTACATACAAATAAGATACTGCTATTTTTAAATTTGATTATAATCTGAATTAAATTCACGAGCGAGTGTACTTACATCGAATATGTTATCAGATAGAATACAATTTTAACATATCTAATGTTGACAATATGATAATTTGACAATATCAACAAAAGTTCTAACTCCTGAGACTAGTTACGTACAAATGAGATACTGCTATTTTTTAATTTGATTATAATCTGAATTAAATTCACGGGTGGATGTACTTACAGCGAATATATTACCAGATAGAAATACAATTTTAACATATTTAATATTTGACAATATCAACAAAAGTCCTGATTCCTGAGACTATAATAGTTATGTACAAATAGATACAGCTATTTTTAAATTTGATTATAATCTGAATTAAATTGTCATGTTCAAAAATATATATATATTTTATATATATATATATATATATATATATATTTATTCATGTTTGCAGAGAAGAGGGCAAGAGGCCGCGTAAGGAATTCCACTTGTTCTTCGTGCCACGCAAGAGCCTTCTTTGTCAAAAGAAGCTCCAGAATCGCGGTGTCTTCGGCAGCTTCACGCTGATAGAAGAATTCAAATGCGATCTCTTCCCGTTCGACAACGATCTGCTGTCGATGGAACTGAGCGGATCCTTCAAGGAATTCCACCTGGAGAACGATCCCACTTGTCTGTATCAAGTCGCGCAGGCCATACAAGGCCTACAAAAGTTGTACGGCAAAATCTTGAAAGTCACGGGAAGGGGACCGGCCGCCAGCAAGGTTTGGGAATTGCTGGAGAGGCTGAATAGAGAAGAGGAAGATAATAAATCGCTCCCTGTGTCGTCCGTTGCCATCGAACACTTATTGTTGCTGGACCGATCTGTAGATTTGCTCTCACCCTTGGTTACACAGTTGACCTACGAGGGCTTAATCGACGAAATATATGGAATAAAATACAGTGAAGTATCGGTTTTACATATTTTTTCCATATTTCAAGATTGCGATTTTTAATCATTCCTGTAATTTGAATGGAGTAATAACAGAGGAACGTCTTTCCTTTTTGTTTTAGATACTGTGCAATTACCCGCAAGAAAATTCCACGACTCCGACGACTCTCCCACCGCGATGTCGCTGAACGATAAGGAGCAAATCATATTGAATTCAGGAGAAGAACTTTTTGCTGAGATCAGGTATGTAATTATTAATTCTCTCCCTGGGGTAACTAATTTTCTCTCTTCATGATGTTTCGTTCTTACAGAGATAAAAATTTCAACGGCGTTGGCCCAGTTCTTAGTAAGAAAGCCAAGGTGATTTCATCTCAGTTTGACGAAAGACACGGGGACAAGAGTGTGCAAGAAATTAAGCAGTTCGTCGCGAGATTACCACACATGCTAGCGACAAAGCAATCTTTAGCAAGGCGTAAGTGATAAAGACACGTGTTTGAATTCAAATTTTGGCGATTATTTTATTGACTTTGATTTATTTTTTATTAGTATTTTAGTAATTATCGGTAATCTCTCTTTAATCTAACCTAACTTTAATCTAATCCAGACACCACGATCGCCGAGATGATTAAGGAGGTGACCGATTCGAGCAACTTCCTGGAATCATTGCAAGTCGAGCAAGAACTGTTAAATTGCATCGACACGGACAAGCCGAATGCGTACATCGAGGACATGATAGCGCAGCAGCAGCCGTTACTCAAAGTTTTGCGTCTCCTGTGCATACAATCGTTGACGAACTCCGGCTTGAAGCCGAAGCTACTGGATTACTATAAGAGAGAAATAATTCACACGTATGGATACCAACATTTGCCAACTTTGTTGAATCTGGAAAAGGCTGGCTTGTTAAAGCAGCAGCAGTCGGTGCGACAATACGCAGTTCTGAGGAAAGCGTTGAGATTAACTGTCGAGGACGAGAGTGAAATAGCACCGAAGGACATCAGTTACGTACATTCCATATACGCACCACTGAGCGTGAGACTGGCGGAGCAACTGGTGCAACCGAACGGATGGCAGGGGTTGAACGACGTGATGGGATTATTGCCAGGCCCCACCGTAAGCAGCGTCCCGTACAATATATCCTCAGTAGCAAGACGTAAGTTGAATTTAAATCTTGCTTTACTCAACAGCTTACTTTTGACGTATTTATTCTTAAAAGAAAACAAAATATTTCAGGAAATTCTATTGCAAGCGAAGACTCCAGTTCGGAACCACCGAAATTAATTCTAGTATTTTTCATCGGTGGCTGCACTTTCGCCGAGATATCTGCACTACGGTTTTTATCGCAACAGGAAGATCGTGAGTATCGTAATAAATTACGAGGTACTTATTTGCACGAATAAATAAAGATATGTGTAATATAACGCAGCATGTAAATTTTTTTTTCCCCAGTAAATGTCGAGTTTGTTGTGGGAACTACTAGACTAATCAATGGCGACACGTTTCTCACTTCTTTGATGGAAGATCTGGAGCGCACGTGAGAAGAGAATCGCTTAAATAAAAAGTATTGAAATAGGATATTCAATATTTTTCATGTGATAAAGTAAACTCTGTACATAATATATATTTCTTCCCCATTATTTTATATTCATCCGATCATATATAATGTAATTCTTAAAAATAAGGTAATTTTTTAAAGGTCTTAGATGCTAATTTACATATTTTGTACATATATGTATGTACATGAAAATAAATCTGCTGCAATGTGTGAATGCGCATAATAATTTTTTTACATAGTACTTTTCTACTTGCATACAAAATTCATGCTGTAATACATGATTACAAATTTTTTTTAAAGTTTTCCAGAAACTAATAAAAAAATTTTAATGCGTATAATACTTTTTTTACACAGTACTTTTTTAATTGCATACAAAATTCATGCTGTAATACGTGATTACAAATTTTTTTTAAAGCTTTTCCAGAAACTAATAAAAAAATTTTAATGCGCATAATACTTTTTTTATACAGTACTTTTTTAATTATATACAAAATTTATGCTGTTAATACATGATTACAAATTTCTTTTAAAGCTTTTCCAGAAATTAATGAAAAAATTTTTTAATTTCTTTAAGAAATTAAGATTTTTCAAATACAATTGTATAATTAACTATCAATAAAGCAGAAGGATGTAGTCAACAATGCGGAAATCGATAGAATTCATGTCAAAGATAGTAGTCGAGTTTTTCATCAGTTAGTACACATATATATGTATATACATACATATATATATATATATATATATAGAGAGAGAGAGAGAGATTTTTGCTATATATATATATATATATATATATATATATACATATAGTATATATATACATGCATATATACTGACTGACGAAAAACTCGATTGTTGACTACATCCTTCTGCTTTATTGATAATTAATGATAGAATTGTATTTGAAAAATCTTAATAAATATATATATATATATATTAATATTTTTTTTGTATATATGTATACATATATATGTATATGTGTATATAAATGGGAAAAATCTTTCAGGTTGTATCGTATTACGATAAAACAGCGCGACGGAAAGGAATGGCACGAAGTGGCTAGTTCGCAACGTGACCGGCGTAGAGCGCCACCGCCATCGCGAACGGACGGCTCTCGCGCGCCTGGTGTGCCGTGTAGTGTGTACGGTGTATACGGTGCAAGTACGGTACGAAGCGGGACGAGCGAAATCGGACGTGAGACGTAGGTGGAGGAATCCTCGCGCACGGTCCCCGCGATCGTCCGTGGACCCGAGGTACGGTGGGCTCGTCGTCGCTCGCTGTCTCGCGCCCCGTTCACTCTCGCGAGAGTGTTCGCGCGCGCGCACGCGAGAGAAGAGAGAGAGAGAGAGAGTGTGTGTGTGTGTGTACGTGTGTGTAGGTGCGTGCGTGACGTGCGTACACGGCGACGACGACGACGACGGCACGACCCGCACGACGACGACGAGGCGTGTATTGTTCCGGGGCGCGGTGCGCGAGTCTCGCGAATCAGCGGCGGGCTCGCCCGAGGATCGCAGGCGCTTAATTATGCCCGCGGGATCGGCGGCCAGGTTCAGGAAAAAGAGCTGCTGCTGCTGCTTCTCCTCCTCCGCCTCTTCCTCCGCCTGAAGAGAAGTGCACACGGAGCCTGCGAGGCGCATGCTTCCCCGCCCGCTCCCTCGCCATTTTGGAGGTGAATACGATATTTTCTCGGCCCTTTTTTTTTTTAGCCCGACCTCTGCCCTGCGCTCTCTGACACGGCCCAGCGGGGATTCCCATCGGTCGCGGCCCGTGAAACCGCGGCGATGTCACGCCACCCGGACGGACGGGACGGGACGGGACCGGTCGTTGTGACGCGCGCGCTATAAGGCGCGCGAGGTGCATGTTTTCGTCCCGTCGTCGTCGACGGCGCAGCGCGGTGCAGCGCTGCACCGCGACGCGGTAGGGGGGTAGGCGCAGCGGAGAGCGCGAGGAGGACGAGGACGGCGACGGGAAGAGGTGGGGTAGGGGGCCCCGACCGCGGGCCGACGAGCACCCAACCCTCCTTACGCCCGCATTTCTCCACCTCCTGCGAATTCTCTCGTCGCCGTCGTCGTCGTCGTCACCGTTATTACCATCAACATCGTCGTCGTCGTCGTCGTCGTTTCGTCTTCGTCATTGTCGTCATCGCGGATCGCCCCATCTTGTCATCCGATCTGCCCGCAGACTTCCCTTTTCCTTCCGCAAACGAATTTCCCGACGTCGCGTCGCCACCGATCTCTCTTTCTCTCTCTCTCTCTCTCGCGAGAAAGATTGCGGGTCTCTCGAGTCCGGAGGTGGGTACGTTCGCGTTTAAAGGATATACCCCCTCGGCGCCGCGCGTCGATAATTCTCTCTCTCGTGCGCGCCCTGCCGAATTTTGCCTCTTGAATCCCTCTCCCTCTTTCCTCCCCCTCCCCCCTTCTCTCTCTCTCTTTTCTCTCTTTCTCTTGCTCCCGATCCGGTCTTGTTCGCGCGACAGAAACGCGACGAGCAGAGTCTCCTCTCCACCGAGAATCGGGGACTTCTCGATGGTACAAACTAGGTGTCAGCCACTCGCGGGCGAGTAACGTGACTAACGCGACAACAATGACGGGAGTGCGGCGATTCTCGTCGCTCCTACGGGAGGAACGTGCCTATTTCTGTGTCGTTTGAAGCCGTTACGTGTCTTCCCCTCGCCGTCGCAATTGCGGGGAAGGGCGGGAGGGAGGGGGAGGGGAATCGCATTTAGATCCTCGCTCCCTCGCGGACGAGAAATAAAAAACGGAACGACGACGACGACGACAAGATTCGGACAATGGGCCGAGCGTGAATGTTTGTTGTTGGTGCATTCGCGCTTTCAACGCACCGTGCTGCCATTCAGTGTACACACTCCGTCCCTTACCGCTCGTAGAAAAAAACACGCGCGAGGTGTATCCGATTCGGGAGAGGAAGGATTCGCCTCGATTTCTGATAACGCACGAGCGGAAAATTAGCGGATGCTTTCCCCGTGTAAGCGAACGGTCCCTCCCGAGAACCCCACGAGAGTTCTCGGACGTGGACTTCTCTCGATGAACTGTCAAGAGTTGGAAATTTCACGAAGGAGATACATAATTGCAAAACGTTTGCTATATCACTTTCGTATTCAAAATTCGAGAGAGGATGTAAAGTAGACGGGAAAACTGTTTTCAAAATAATCTCCGGCGCGAGTCGACTGCAGTGCGTGAAACTGGAAGGCTTAATTATTAAGATCTCCGACATTGAGAAATGACAATTTGCGGCAAATGCTGGCGTATGAAAGACAGTCCTCCTTTGTAGGACGGCACAATTGAATTGTTTCGTAATTGAATGATAATCTGCTTAATTTCTAGACGTGTGTGTGCATTATTTGTATAACTACGCAAGAATGCCATATAATAATACCATAAGTTAATGAAACTTTAAATCGTTTATTTAAGAGTTTTACTTATTTTCACTGCAAAATTGTCATTCTTAATTGACCGCGTATGTGTGGTAACTATAAAACTAACATGATTTGCAGATATTGAGACATAAATTCCCTATTGAAATCTGAGATAAGATTTCTCATAGAAAAAAATATTGAGACACTGATGATTGTAGATATCGAGATAATTGAGACATTGAGATAATAATAGTTGTATGAATGCAACCACTGGCAATACAAAGAAATAACAGAATTTCATCTCTTATTTAAGTCGACAGTGATCTTCTCATCACATTTTAATCCTGTACTTATCAAGATATTTAGTGTTTAAAAGTAAAAAGTTAATAAACCTTGATATCATCAATATATTTTTTATAATTTTCATCATTGAATATCTTTTATCTCTAAACAGGAAATATGCCTTTAACATAATGTCTTACATAATAGCTATAAATTTTCGAGTATTTTCTAACAATTTTACTTTTTATACAATTAATTAAGATTATGAAACAATGTATATTTAGTGATATACATTGATATGTTATTGTAGCTTTAAATTTTATGTAGCTGAAAATATCTGGATCTAAAAATATATTTCTTTTATAGATAGAATGTTAAATTTGGGAATGGACTGACAGAGGATTCATTAAAAACAGACGGTTCGGGCAAGGAATCTAAAGATAACGGGGCAAGGTGTCTGGACTAGGCCTCGGGCATCTTAATTATCAACAACTCGACTATGCCAGCTGTTGCAAGGCCTGGTAGTTTAAAGGACCCAGAGATTGCCGAATTATTTGAGAAAAATGATCCGGAGAAAATATTTGAGGATCTGCGCGAGATCGGGCATGGTAGTTTCGGGGCTGTTTACTATGCACGATGCCTGGTTACCAAAGAAATTGTTGCCATCAAGAAGATGTCTTACCTGGGGAAGCAAACGGTGGAAAAGTGGCAAGACATTTTAAAGGAAATTCGATTTCTTAGGCAACTTAATCATCCTAACACTATAGAGTATAAGGGTTGCTATCTCAGGGACCACACTGCCTGGGTACGTGCGATATATTGAATTTTTATGTCCTTCAGTCAATTCGCGTCCATACTTCGAACTTTTCGAACTAGCGATTTTTTTAACCGATATTAAAACTGTGCACGCGGCGCGTTGCCGTTTTGCAGTTGGTGATGGAATATTGTCTTGGCTCCGCATCAGATATTATCGAGGTACACAAAAGACCACTGAAGGAAGAAGAAATAGCTGCAATATGCGAAGGTGTATTACGAGGCTTACACTATCTCCACTCCCTCGGGAGAATCCACCGCGATGTGAAAGCTGGAAATATTCTACTTACTGAGAATGGTACAGTGAAATTAGCTGATTTCGGGTCCGCGAGTATAAAATGTCCAGCCAATAGCTTCGTAGGGACTCCATACTGGATGGCGCCAGAAGTTATATTGGCCATGGACGAGGGGCAATATGATGGCAAGGTTGACGTATGGTCACTAGGAATAACTTGCATCGAATTAGGTACACGTGTTTAATATACTGTACTCGATTATATATTTATGTGTAAAACTAGCTTTAACATTTTTTGTACATTAATGATTTGCAATATTTTAAAATAACTATTACCGTTTTATTATTTGCAACGATTATTCAATATTCTGCATTTATGATAATTCTTTGTAATGTCGACAAAGCAAACAATGATTATTCGAATTTGAAAGATATTAATGTGACTTTTCAAAGTTCTGTAATTTAATTAACATCTTAACTTTTCTGTTTTATCGAAAGGAGAAAGTTTTGTCTAATTATCTTATTAATTGTCTTATTTTAATTATTTATTCTAGCTTAAACTTACGTTATTTATGTTATTGATTATAGCGGAAAGAAAACCACCTTATTTTAATATGAACGCAATGAGCGCCTTGTATCATATTGCACAGAACGACACTCCAACGTTAAATTCGCCAGATTGGACTGATGTTTTTCGACACTTTGTTGAGGTGTGTCTCACAAAAAGTCCAATTGAAAGACCAACATCCGGGAAGCTGTTATCAGTGAGTTGTCCTTACGTATAGTCTGCGGCGATACGTTACGTCTGTATAATTGTTTTTCTTTTTTTTTTGTCACATTATATGCGGTATGTTAGTAGTAGTCTAGTTGTTCTCTTATAGGCTTTCAATTTTACAGCATCAATTTGTCACCAGACCACGTTCTCCTCAAGTTTTGATAGATTTGATACAGAGAACGAAAGCCGCTGTCCGGGAATTAGATAATTTGAATTATCGTAAGATGAAGAAAATCTTGATGATCGACGCATGCGAGACAGAGAGCACAGTTGGTGACGCTGACGGTATGATCGCTTATCAAGTGTCAATCTTAGTAAATTAATTATTTTTGTGTTTCTCTCTTTTTTTTAGTATGCTAATTAAGGCTGCGTTCCATTTAACGCTTGCGAGCAGCTTCCTTTTTTTAACATTTGATAAACAACAAAGCTGAAATGATTCCAAGAGCGTTGCGAGCGTTAAATGGAGCGCATCCTAAATGTGCTCTGCCGATACTTTCGAATCTTCAAAATTGCAACCACTTACAGATACTCCTGATGAACAAACAGGTGGTGATAGTAGCAAAAGCAATTCAATTACCTCAGAACACTCGATTCACTCGATGGGCGTCTCAGCAAGCTCTCAAAGTTCCTCCACCAATAGCCTGCCGCTGCCGAATGCTGATGGTAATGACTACTCATCGGGATCTGTCAGAAATCGGCATAAGGTCTCAGCAGGTGGTGTCACTGCCAATCTTCTTGAACACGGTGCCAATAATTTTGCAACAATTAGGACAACTTCAATTGTTACGAAACAACAGAAAGAACATATGCAAGAAGAGATGCATGAACAAATGAGTGGATACAAACGAATGAGGAGAGAACACCAAGGTGCTTTGGTAAGCAATCAAACGTTCTCTTTAATATACATATTAACTTAACTTTAATATACGATTTATTAGGAGGGAAATAATCTCTGATAACGATTGATGAATTTCAAAACTTGCATTGTATGCTTAAAAAATTGAAATTTTAAAGATTAAATTAAAATGTTTATATTTACGATGTAATATCTCTCCTTTTTGCAGGTAAAATTAGAAGAACGCTGCAAGATGGAAATGGAGTCACATAAACAACTGTTGGATAAGGAGTATGAAACTCTGCTGCAACAGTTTAGTAAGGATCTCGAGAAATTGCAGCTCAGACATCTACAAGAGCTGGAACGCAAGTTAAAACAAAATCAAAATGCCGAAAAGAAACTTAATAAAGAGATAACAAGTAGACAGGAAGCTGATCGTAAAGCTTTGGAAGCTCAACAGAAAAGAGAGTACAAAGTAAGATGTTGGCATAAAAAGAATTTATCGAGATATACAAAATTTTAATACAATTTCATTTATATATCTTTAAACATATGTTATTCTTTGTATAGGCCTATAAAGAAAGATGGAAAAAGGAACTCTCTCAGGACGAGGTAACTCCAAAGAGGCAACGAGATGCTACACTTCAAAGTCAGAAAGACAATTTGAGACAGATGGAAGCGCAAGAGGAACAACGGCTTGCGAGGGGACAACGAGAATATTTGGATCTGGAAATTCGAAAATTCCGTAGAAAAAAGTTACTCATCTTCCACAGTTTGGAGCAGGAGCTTCTTCGAGAAGTTCGTATTACTATTGATATATTAAAAAGTTTTTATTTTATTATTGAACCTTCATATTTTCTCCAAAATCTATGTTGTATTTCTTTATTTTGAACATTGCAAATTATCAACTTTTCTTATGGCTTTTCTTATATTATAATTTAATTCTGAGATTAAGCTTATTAATTGACATCTTTATCTTTTATTCAATGTTTTGAGAATGTGAATTTTATAAATTTGAATACATTTGTTAAATAGGAATTGAATAAACGGCAACAGCAACTGGAGCAAGCACATGCTATGCTTCTGCGACATCATGAAAAGACGCAAGAATTAGAATATAGACAACAAAGAGCAGTACACGCACTTCGTGAGGATCAAGTACATCGACAGCATTCAACAGAGCTTTGTAATCAACAGGATTATATGCAAAGAGCTGAACGTGATCTGCGTAAGAAGCATGCGTTAGAACTTAAGCAACAACCGAAGAGTCTCAAGGTAAATAATATGTAGCAGTATATTGATATTTATATTAAGATAAAAGTGTATAAATGTTTTTAAGTAAAACGTATTGAAATTAACATTTAAATTTCAATGCGTTTTATCTGTATATTTGGTAGAAATTATGTTGACGAATGAATTTTCAATTTTAGCAAAAGGAGATGCAAATCCGTAAACAGTTCAGAGAAACTTGTAAAATACAGACACGACAATATAAAGCGTTAAAAGCTCAAATCCTGCAAACAACTGCTAAGGATGAGCAGAAGGCAGTAATTAAGAAGTTGAAGGAAGAACAAAGACGCAAATTGGCACTTTTAGGTGATCAATATGAGCAGAGTATCGCTGAAATGCTCCAAAAGCAGAGTATACGGCTGGACGAGTCACAAGAAGTAGAATGCCATAATCTTAAGGTTCGATGTGATAAATGATTATTATATATCAATGTGTATTGTCTTGTAGCCTTATATAATTATATAGCATTAATGAAACAAATTAACGTTAATCTTACAGGAAAGATTAAATTATGAATTAGAAATTTTAATGGCATACCAATCAAAAAATAAGATGCAAGCCGAGGCGCAGAGGAATAGGGAACGTCGTGAGTTGGAAGATCGTGTATCTGTTAGACGGGCTTTGCTTGAACAAAAAATGGAAGCAGAAACTCAGGAATTCCTTCGTGAACGAAGTGAACGTATACGCCTGCTACATGAAAGGCAAGAACGGGAACTGCAGCAATTTGATGAGGAAAGTGCAAGAATAGGATTCAGGTACGTGGCTATATGTGATATATAATCTAAAGTTTAACTAAATTTATTTTACAAGAAGAGTCTCATTACGTTACTATTGACCAGACGTAGTTATGTGTGTTGCGCAATATTTTTATAGCATTTTTCAAATTATTATTGCAGTGCTCTGGCGATAGCGGAGGCATCGAAAGAATCTTATCCGGACGATGAAAGCCTTAGCGGCTCCATGTTAAGTCTGGCTCACAGTAATAGCTCCACGTCCTTCCCCCCTAATAGTCTTTAATTTTAATCATACTAATATACATATATACATATATGTATATATATATATGTATCTATGTATGTATATGTACGTATGTCTGCCTGTAGTAAGTACATGACGAGTCTGCCGACGTATAATAATTCAATGACTTACAAATATAACAAGGGTTGGCTCGTTGCGTGCATTGAGAATCGAACCTGAAAGATTTGTTAAGGTTGGGAATGTGTATTGGACTGAAATTGTCATAGGCGCGTATTTTTTAATCGTCCAGATGTATCGACATAATTTACCAGGAAAAGAAAGAGAAAGAGAGCTTCATATTGAAGAAGAATTTAGATGCTTTTTGCAACATTGTAATATTTATTAATTGTAACCAAATATCCTGAGATGCATATAGAGATAAAGGAAAAAAGAAAAACATGTCTGTCAAACATTAATCTCATTTATAATATCCATTAGAGAATCTTAAAATTCATAGGCCAATTCAGACGAAGAATAGGGAATGAAGAATTTTATACACACCTATACCACAGAAAAAAAAAAATTTAGAGACATTTATTTATTAATATGCTATGAATATAATAAAAATAACAGTACAATAATTATAATGCTCGAATTAATATATATTTTATTCTTTTTCTCCTAAGACTTTAGATAAACCTGAGATGTCTTTCTCAGTGTGGTGTTCTGATTTTTATGTTGCTTTCACGATGAAAACTTTCAACTTTTTCTTCGTGATAATCGAGCATCGCGTCATTAGTAGATTTTTTACGTATTTCAAGATTTTAATTATATATATATATATATAAATTTCATTTAAAATAATAATTTAAAGTAATAAAAAGTTATAGTGAAGAATTTGTAAAGTAATCAATTTAAACAGAACTATTTTTTGTTGTAAGTGTAAATATCAGTAATCAAACATGCATTTCTCAAAAAGAGGTTTAGATTCAGGATACAACGAGTTATCCTTTTATTCCTTTATACTTTTCATCGTATAATAATATAACGAATTTAATAAAATTATTGTTGAGAATTAGAAACAATTGGTATTTCACTTGTCAATTCCTTTCAAGTTTCCTGCTGTAAGATTCTTTAACGTTGTATCTTGGATGTGTCTTCTATGTATGTAATTTACATAAAATCAATATGTAAAAATTATTTATGTGATACATTAATTTATATCTATTATGCATTGTCTAAAAAAAGAATTTAAGTATTGATTTCATAAAGAAAGATTCTTGATAATGAAGATGTTACATTTTTTTTATTAATCTAAATATTTTCTACGTCATTACCAAGTAAACTTATTTTCAATTATAAGGCTAGTTATTTAATATCTCACATGATTTCCTTTTCACTTCCGTGTCTTCATTCATGCGGCATTAAAACCAATTAAAACCGGTGGAATTTAAAGTATTTATATGTTGAATATGATATTTAATGAAGTGGAATAATCGCGCAGATGTTAATTACGACATTTTAAATATAGGAAATCGATATTGATGCATTAACTTAATGCTCTACACTTTTATACTGATAATTATAGTATTTTATCTGAATTTTTATGTAAATTCTCCAAAAATATTCACTTTTATAATGTTTTAATTGTATCGCTTATTTGCGTTTTACGAGAACTTTTTGAATAAACGTTAAACGAACGTTTGTTCCTCCACATCTGCTTATAAGAGTTTAAAGTATACTTTTTGATCAATCGCTCCATTGTATTTATATTTGCATCATATACTCTATAACTGCATTCAAAATTTCATCCAGTACACATCCCAATGTTGTACTTTTACGTCAAAATATATACGTTTTGTTTTTTCCCCTACATTTATTACTTTCGTTACATATTTTTTATTTTATATGTCACGAAACCATTATGCATATGAAATCTGTATCCAAATGATTGAGACTGTTGTTCCTCCCGATAATGTTCCGTTATACAGTAACTTAACACTTTCCTGTAAAATCAACGAAAAAACAAATGTCTCGTTTCGTATATAAAATTATATTAAATTCAAGAACTGCGCATTGAGAAAATGTATTTCCATTAATGATAAAACTCTTAAGCAGGTGCTATAATATATTATTGTATGTATAGTTAATACTTAGCATACAGTCCACTTATTTTTTCATTATGAAATGTCAGTAAGTTTTATTGTATAAAGCATTTCATTGTTATCCTAAAAAGAAATCTAAATTTTTACGATTCAAGAATGTAATCCAATTTTTTTTCTGATATACGTATGGAGAGCAGTAAAACATGTCACCATGAAATACTTGTAAGCGAGTAGTTGAGGAAGCCAATCAAATACTTGTATTATATTAATTAATGCGTATATATATTATACAAGAAGAAAGAACTAACGTTTTATAATTTTATTTCTACGCTTATAGCTTGAGATTCTTCACACGTTAATTAAAACGAAAATGTTTATTTTAGCTTTAGAGGAGATAAAAGTAATTAATTATAAAACAGATTGAGGGGTATGACCAAAAATATTGCATTTTATTTCGTAAGTTTATGTCATAGATCTTTCCCCCCTCTCCCCCCAATATAATTTATACGTTTAAATGAAAAGCTTTAAACAACATTCACGTAACAAACATTTTGTCATTTGCATTATCAATGGCAATATAGCATACACATTCCAATTTTTGTTTTATATATAATATATATTATATAGATGTATAAATATGTATTTTTTCTTTCTAATCCTTCATGAAGATGAAATTTGACGTGAAAATTGTAAGCGACTAGCATGCATCGAACGAATATCTAAAAGTGTGTTCAATTATAGTGATATGAGTGATTGTAGTGAAGCATGAACAATACAATTGTTATCATGGTTATATGTTCCAAGCTGTACAATACGGAAAACTGTCACAATCAACCGAAATGTTTCCCATTATGATATGTAAATACAGACGCATATACATAGTAATCGAAATGTAACTCATTATGGAAAAGACAGTAAGACGGCATCCACGTGTGAAGATATATATTTAAATTCTTCCCTAGGTTCTCATTAGGGAGAAAATGTCCGAAAATCAATTACTATAATCAATTCGAAGCGTAATAGACTAACAGAGATTGTTCGTGCTAACACAAACTGGACTCTAAATTACGTAAGATGTGTGGTTTAGGAAAAACTGTTTAGACTAATTTAATATGTTATAAAATACGTCTTTCTGTTATTATAAGTAACTAATTAAACAAATTGCGATTATTAAAGCTTTAGATTTCGAACCCGCCTTCGTTGGGGAAGGTTCTATATTAAAAGAAAAAAAAAAATTGTTAAGTTTTACATGCACTTTTAATTATAGCACGAGTTGTGTCTCTGAGTTAAGTTGTATGTATGTAACAAAAGGATTATTCTCGATCGATAGTCTGTGTAATCACTATAACTTGCTGAATACCCAATTTAGGAAATTAATTGTCGATGTTGCTAGAGTTTTGTAAATATTTATTCGCTTTACATAAAATTGCGATATGGAATTTTGATTATAATATCTAGTATTTAGTGAGAAAGAGAGCGAGAGAGAGAGAAAAAAGAGAAAGTACACGGAGAGAAAGAGAGAGAGAGCGGGAGAGAGAGAGAGAGAAATTTATAAAAATTTTCCAAAAAAACGCGCGCGTGGCTAACTTTATCAGTTAACTTTGGAATGTGATAACTGGTAAGCTAGACAATTAATCATAGGCATAGCATATCAAATATCATATTATCAAATTATGCTTGTGATTATTTGACGAGCTCGTTCTTCACTTACTTCCATTTAAGGTGTGATTTTTGTAATGCCGGTGATTTGTATCGCGATACAATTCACTGTCATCAGATAGAAACGCAATATTTTTGAGATTGCTGTAATAATTACGATTCCAATACGAATTATGTCTTCTTTACATTATCGGCCAATTACAGGAATATTGTTTTTTGTACATGACGAAACACCGAAGTGAATGTAACTATATATACTTCAATACAATTTCTGGCTTTAATTAAAGGTAAATAGTAACCTCCTTTTTTTTTTATCTTCAACAGTCTTGCTCTTTTTCAACACGAGTAACTAGACTAGGCATCGTGTTTGCTGAATAACCAGCATCGATACCATGGAAAGTAGAAAATACTTCAGATCGATCATCAAATGAAAAGTATATACAGGATGCTGTAATTTTGCGAAGCAAAACGATCTCCCACAGACATGTTTTATAAAAAGAAAAACTGATATCTTTTAAAGACAGCCAAATAAAAATTAGATAACTAAAAATTAAATAACTACTTGTGCCATTATTAATTTCATAAGGCTAATTATACAAGAAAATATGTGTTTATGAAACAGCGACAAGTAGAATGTGACGTTATTGGTATTATTTAAAATAATCGTGCGAATGTTACACGTGTAAATTTTTATTTCTGAAAGTACTTTCTATTTTCGATATCATTATTATACAGATTCTTATAATTTCTCTAGCTTGCTATTTTGTAATTACGGAAAAATATTATAGCTCCTCAAAAGGACTCCTATTATTTTGAAAATGCATCAGTATTGTAAAAGCAAGGTGCACATACGAGATTGTATATAAGATTTACGTTCGATTTATCTTATAATGAACCTGAAAATTATTCATTTTTTAACGAAACTTAGATCTGATCTCCCTTTGCCCTTTGATTCTAACTTTATCTGTAATTTTAACTCATTTTGTATTCTGTTTTTAAACGAGAACACAAACTCATACCAAACATCTTGTATTATATTTTGATAGTAGAATGAGATTCATGTCTGACGTATTATATGTACACAGTGCATAGGCAATTCTTAATGAGGCCGGTATTCGAGTTTGTAATATTTATTCTTAATTCAATTTTGTAATGTGCATAGCTCTACATTGAAATGATAACACGTAAATTCTCGCAACTAATAGTATTATATCTTAAGCATTAACTTTATTAGTTGCGTTAATTTTATTAACTGCAAGAGAATTAATCATTAAAGAGAATAATTTCATCAAGAACTTTCAGTCGTAATGCTGAAGTGTTTTACATCGAATTGAGTGTAATTGCCTGAGTGGGTGAGTTAATTAACATTTGTAGTCAATATATGCTCATACAACTCATTCGTAGCACGAGATGTAATAATAACAGATTAATATTCTCCCGATTTTATTAATATTATTTTATTATTATTACCTTTATTTATACTAACATAACAAGTAAATAAAAGATAAAATTTCAATAAGATAGATATCAATATATTTCTAATCAATAATCGCGAAATGCATTATACGTAATGCGATCAATCGAGTTGTAAACATTTTTGATAATTATTATTACACGAGTATTCAGTTTTTATTTTTAAATTTAAGTAATTTACACACAATTTAATAACTAAATCGATAGGAGAAAGTATAAGTAGGTCATGCCTGCATCGCAAATTAAGGCTTAAAAGAAACAGCTGATGAAACTGTTTAATCCAATATACTAGATTGATAAAATAATAAAGATAAGAATGGTGTCAAGCACTTTTTGTGAATACATTTTTATCCAGTTTATCAATCCTTTGATTAAGTCAGATTTTACTGATAATTTGTATGTTTAATTAGCAATAAATTCAAGTATCTAATCACCTTTTTTATTTATATTATACTATTGTACTATCTACACATTTTTGCCAGAGATAACATGCAAAAATAAAAAAATACGACAAATGAGAAAGTGAACAAAATTGAAATATATCGTATTGTCTTCCTATAGAATACTTTGAAATTGCAGACTGAATGGATGAAGTAAAAAATGCAGAATTATAAAGATCATTCCTTTATATCTTTCTCTCTCTATACATACATATATGTATATGTTGATTCAACTGACATTTCGACGGTTTTATATATAAATATAAAACCGCCGCTTTTGTTAATGTATACAACGTGAAACAGTAACAAACTATATCCTGCCAGTTGTAATGCAACAAAAATTTCTAGCCTTTCTCATGCGCGTAAATAGCTCGAATATACTTAAAATCTACGCAGTGTATACATGTAACAAATGTTTTTACAATATTACAATCCGTACGTATATTTATAAGAAATAACCGGTATAATATACAAATGCATTTTTGGTTCGTACCCGTAAAATCTTATTGCGTGGGCGAGAACGAAGTCGGGATTAATATGCGCGAATGCATTTCTCTTATTAAAGGTACGGTATAAGCGACGCACTCGTCCCAACCGGGTGATCTCCAAGCACTCTCGCGCGTTTCCTTACGCGACTGAAGATCCTTGTAACCTGAAAAGAAAAATCAGATATATTATCCGACATGTAGGATGAGTGAGCATAAAGTACATAAAAGCAGCGTAATGTAATCGACACTCGCAGTATTTCACTTACACCAAATATGATGAACGTTGTACAGTCTACCAATTTGCGAGAAGTAACCAGCAAACGGTTCGTCGTTGTTGCGCCTATAATTAATAGCCTTCGCCCAATTGTTTCCCCACTCTATCATCGTGCCCGGTTTCAAACTGTAGCTACGCACTTCGTATTTGTTCGAGCCTTTTCGTTTTACCAGCGGTGGCCAATAACTGAATGCCAATAGATATTGCAAGTGGCGCGATCTCAAGTAATTCCCACGTTCCTTCTGCAATCGCTGGTAAGCCTGTGGAAAAATTAATTGTTCAGGTTAATGATCATTACACACATGTCAGTATGGCATCTTTGTATAGATATTCGGAAGAAGTATTTCGTACCTCATCTTTGGAAAGCACAGCCTGCGCATGATCTACACGCTCGTATCCACCCGTATACTGCCACAAATGTAAGGCCTGATCCAAGTCTCCCACGTCCACCGTCCACGAACCCACTAGTTCGCAATTCAAATCAGACTTTTTCGAGTGTATGAGATTGACATGTTCCTCGCTGGAATGACATGAAAGAGGGAATGTCATAAATTTAAAGTAAATGAGAAGCATTTGGCATTGTAGACACACAGTTCAAAGCTCAACAAGAAGGCAACATTACATAATGCATCTACTTTTTAATTATCTACCAAACCCACAAAAGCTACGGAACAAGTATATAGATTACATTCTGATACCAGTAACACAAACATATATATACAGGGTGTCTCATAATAGGTGTATGACCGTTCATGGGTAAGTAGAACGGACTAAACTGAATCGAAAAGTCCTCTACCATTTTGCAAAATTCGCAATCGTAAACGAGATATTAATTTTTGAAGATTGACGAATAAACGCGTATTCATTCGGCCCACCGCTGAATGCAAGTGCGTGGCAAGATAAGTAGATTAAACCGAACAAAAAAGTCCTCTACTATTTTGTAAAATTCGCATTTATTAACGAGATATTAAGTTTATTCGCCGATCTTCAAAAATTAATGTTAACGATTGCGAATTTTGCAAAATGGTAGAGGACTTTTCGATGCAGTTTAGTCCTACCCATGAACGGCCATACACCTATTATGAGACACCGTTTTATTTATATATATATATATATATATATAAAACGCTACAAAGATGATAATTTGATAAGATATGCACAAGTTCCAACTGTACTCTAGAGACTGCACGGCGATATCTAAAAGCTGTAGCGAACTATGAATGAAATAAATTGGAAGCGCATGCCGCTAACGGCGGATCGATCCTACTCGCATCGGATTTCATAAGTCCAGTGAACTATCACGCACTTCGGATGCAAGGTCACAAAGATGTCGACTCACTAGTTGGCCAAGTATTTGTCAATCGAGTCTGGCCGTATGTTTTGAGTGTGCAGCGCGTAAATGACCTCCTTGTCGGAGAGCATACGCGAGTGCGACTCCTTCGTGGGCTCGATCTTCCTCACCAGGAGCTTGCTCAGCCATCCCTCGCTGATGTCGCACCGGATCGACGACCTCGTCAGGGACCTGCGGAAACGAGATACACACGACTGTTAATCCGACCTCGAGGTCCGTCTCTCGCGCGCCGCCCCGACGGATCGCACTCGCGCGAAAGAAATCGGAGCAAACAAAAAAGAACGAAAAAAAAAAAAAAGAAAGAACAGACAGGTGACCAAGCGAGTTCGCTCGCGCTTACCGTGCGGCTACGTGCAACGGCAGGTTTCCGTTGCCGGCGAGCGCGCCCGCCACGACGGTACGGAACTCTCTCCTCAAAACAGCGGCCATTTCTCACTGGACCCCCGCCGGTCCCGCGCGCGAATCTCCCCCGTCGTCAACGCTCCCTGAAGAAGTGGGTGTAAATTTAACTACTCAGCAACATCCACTCTTCGCATCGCGGATATATAGGCTGCGTTTCGCTAAAGAGTAAAGCGCATCATGCGCGCATGATGTATCAATTTGCAGCTTATAACGTGGTGTAATATCATTTATTTAGTGTAACTAACTTAGGTATCATAAATTGTATTAAATTCATAAAACAACAGAGTGATCCAATAAAAGATTATTCGATTATTAATTGAATTTTTTTCCATCAGATTTTGATGAAGTTTTTTTAAGAAAAACTCCATGCATTTACTAAAATAATGAGGACATATGTATAAAATGTTATTTCATAATTTTATTGGCAGAAGACTGTCCACCTAGGCTGTGTTTATATTTGTATATAACTCATCTGTGTGCTCGATAAAAATTTGTCTTTTATTCCTCAAATTTGCAAATTTACAATAGTAGAATTTATTATAGTTGTATACAACTTAGATTTCACATAGCATATATTTACTACGTTCTTTTATCACATTTTACAATACACGGCATTGGATGTTCAAATGCTCTTGGCCTCGTAAGATTTAATACTTTCAGTGTGTCTCAATTATGCCACAGTTCGCAACGCGCACGGAGAATAAGTAATTACAATATAAGAATTCTTGAATCACTCTTGCAATCCTTTTACTTCCGCCTGAATAATTGCTGTAAGATAGCAATTATTCAGCCTGAATAATTGATATAAGATAGTAATTATTCAGGCGGAAATACAAAAATTACAAGAGTGGTTCAAGAATATACAAGGACACTGAACTTTCGAAGAACTTAAATCAGGGTGCCACAGCAGATTCAACGACCAAGAATGGAGAATTTTTAATTAAAATTAGTTGGAAGATAAAAAAGAACGATCCAACTAATGACTACACTCATGTAAATCGGTAAGATAGTTAATTAACAGACCGTACTGTATCTTCAACTCTCGAAGTATTCTTGACAGTGAAAGGATGGATAACACAACTACGTAAATACTTATATAATACGAATATAATATAGAGTAAATTTTTTTTAGAACATATATATATACCTCATTTTTTAATGACAAAAAATGACTGATAAAAAAAAAAGTAATAACATATTTTAATTACAACGCAATTCTGTCGTGTTTTGAATAATAAAAAACTGCTGCCTGTCGTCTTTTTAAAGATTATAAAATTAGGAATCCAATTAAAATATACGATCGCGCATCAATCTCGTACGAAATGTTGTCAAATTGGTAGTATGACGAGCTAAAAATTTACAGCTATGTGCATTGATATCCAAGAATCAAACTAAATTCATCAAAATATGTTTTGATAGAAGCATCATTAATAACTATGTAACTTAACATTAAACGAAATGTTAAAACTTCACATGGAAGTCGGAGACTAAAAATTCATCTCTCTTAATTCAGACGGTTTAGCTTCGAGTATATTTACGTAAACGGACGTCTTATCGATTTTTCTTCTTTCCCGATATACGTAAGATTTTGCGAAGATATCGACTTTTTGCGATTGAGCGTGGTTCTATATCCGGAAACAGCTCGTTCTCCTCGTCTATCTTTGCTGTAATAACTTCTCTAAATTGACCCAATATGCTGCCCAAAATCCAATTACCCTGATACTTTTCTCTATCCGGCACAAACGCACCCGTGAAGTATCGACTGTGAATCTTCCTGCGTGCCTTCGGGAAACTGTCTGAAGTGCCTATCGGTGATGTCAGCGATGTCGCTGGCAACGACTTGCTGGCGCTCTTCACTGAACTCTCTGTCTGCTGAGAACGTGAATCCAGCGTGATTTGCCGCAAAGAGCCGATTCACCGTGAAAACACTGAAAACCATCATCCGTCCCATACGACTTGGGTTTTACATTTCCGGCCGCCGAAGCTCTGTGTATCTTGATCTCGCCAGCTAAAGCGACAACAAGAATGAGATGTGTTAATCGGTATTACTTTTCGAAAGAACATATTTTTTATAAATATATATACCTGTGTTATTTACGACTGGTATAAATGGTTGACATGGTATCGTGGAGCTCGCAATGTTCTCGTTTAAAACTCAGTTGTGATGTGCTTCAATCTGTATTGTGGTTGAGTATTTTTTACGTTCTTGGATATCTTGCATAAAAGAAATTATCGTCATAAGATGGTGGACTGAATGCGGCTTCGTCAAAATCAAATCTAAAAAAAAAAAAAATATAATGACAACTTCAAATAGCTTTTTTCAAGGTATGGATAACAACATCGAAAATACAGGTATCTTATTATATCTATCAAAATTTGCTAATATATCCCAGTAAAAAATTCTCATATAATATTTTAAAGAAGAATTTTTCATATTTTAAATTTATGAAAAGTTTTAATTGGAGGTTCCAGTTCACCAATCAATGCCTAATGTGTAGAATTGTAGATCAAAGACACTCAAAAAGTGCCCGCAACGATACAGCCAGGATTTATTCAAAAATAGGAAAAATTTTGCGCCAAATAATCGATTAATAAACGATTTAACCTCTTTTAAAAACAAACAGGTAACGTTTGACTTGACTAAACTGCGGTTTTTGCGCGAAATTTATTATTATACCTTTATTATTATTTGCATTTGTTGATATTCGTAAATAGATTGCAAGGCAAGCAGTTGTGCGAGAAAAACGGGACACTTTGCTGTGCTGATGGATCAATGATTTCTAGGCTGTTACAGTACTACACAAAATCATCGCGTTTTGATTACTTAACGACGAATGTGTCAAGCAAACGGCACATATTAAATGCCATTTCAACTGTATTGTGTTTTACATCCGATGAGCTGAGTAAAGTTAAATATTGAGAATAGATATTTTTTATTATATAAATATATTTGATCTAGAAAAAAAATAAATACACAAATATATATTCTCTCAATACCTTAAAGATTATGCTTCTTCCTGTGCCTTCAGTTCCTCTATGAGCCTCTGTTGGCGTTCTTCTGCTCTCCTAGCCAAAACTTTCAAGCTCTGCGTTCGCAACACGAGCATGAACATTTGTTTACCCATAGAGGACGTAGCGTTAATGTCGGTTTGTTTGCTAAACCAATTTCTAAGAGTGCCGTTTTCTGAAACAAACATTTTATTAAAGAATTTTTGTTTCAAATTTGAATTATGCATGCATATAATTTTATCGTTCAACTATCAAGTATTTTGCGGACTTACTGCTGCATTTTTATTTTGAAATCTGACTATGGCAGTATCTTTTTTTTTAGATGATAGCGCAAGTCCTGTTATATCTTCATACTGTGAAAAAAAGTAATAATTAAAAATATCTGACGTGTAAAATGAAAAATTAAAATTAAATTATGATATATTACCTTGGAGAATATTTTATTTAAATCATCATAAGTGTAGCCATCATTAGTTGGATTATTCTTTTTTATCTTCCAACTAATTTTAATTAAAAATCCTTTTTTTGGTTGAATTATCTGGTGTGGCAGCACTTCTTGTATTTTCTTGAACAACCACTTTTGCAGTCTTGCATTCGCCTTAATAATTACGTATTTTACATATTTAAATTATCAATCTAAAAAGCTATTTTAACAAATTCTAAAGTTATAAACAATAAGAGAGCTAATGAACCAATCTGGATGTACATAAACTAATGTGCTTGATCAACAATCTGCTTAAATAAATTAAAATGTTTTTCGAACTTCATATTAGCAGTCATCCTCAATGAATTTTTAATGCACTTACAATCACAAAGTCCATACATTTGAATACATGTATCAGCCCTCTTATTGTCTATAATTTGAATTTTTTATTCCTATGAGCCCCTTTCATTTTTATGTAAAATTAACAGTTTTATTTTAGCAAAATTAAGCTGGTGTACCCTTTTTTGTCCCCGAAATTTTTCGAACAATCTTAAATATTCCTCTTGGAGTGCCCTCAAATCTTTAAATTTTTTCCCTTTGCATCTAACTTCTTAACGTCCTTTCTCCGCTTCCTGGCGGCGACAGCTTTGTCATATGCTGCCTAATTTTACAACAAATTTTTAATAAATTAGATCAGCCACGAGACTTTCTAGAAGTCTAAGAAAAAGAAATTACGATAATGACGATGTTAATAAATTCTAAAGAGATACCGATATACTTACTCTGGCATTGGGGTCCGTTAATGTTTTTACTGCCTTCGAAAGTTTCCGAAATAATTTTGTGGCTCTGGGATTATCTGGATTTTTATTAGGATGATACTTTAAGGCTTTTTGACGATAAGCTTTTCTTATCTGAAAATACAAATAACATCAAGCGTTTTCTCATGATACTTCGTCATTATACAAAATATTCTACTGTGCCATAAAAAGAAATGTAAATGTTTTTACGCAAATAGGAAACGTTTTATGAAAATTCCTAAGAAACAAACTGAAAGTACAAACCTTTGATATGGAAGCAGTCGGCTCCACACCTAACAATTTGTATAGATCCATTTTTTTCCCTTTTATTCCACTGGCCGGTGAATTATAGCGCCTTCTCGGAAGGTTATATAGCGTACTCTCAAGACTCAAGACTCGGAGGTAAGCCAAAGAGGTCTTCTTGTTCTTCTAGATATAGTCACAACTAGAACTTAAGGTAGAGAGAATCCTTCTCTGGCCGCTCTCAGAATCTTCTAATCTAGTTGCCTCTGGATTTCAGATTCTTAATCGAATCTGATCGAATCTCAGTATATTTTCTCAGAATCTTCGCTGGAAGATTCCGAGAAATCTATGCAAGAGACGAGAATCCCACGTGTCCCACGAATTGGCAGCGCGCCCGTACCAAAGGATTATGAAGAGCGACGCGAACCGAACATATTTCTGCAGCGGTGTATTTCTGAGTCGTCGTGGTTTTCTGTGCGTCCCATCCGCGGGATCATGCAAGCACCTCACAAAGACCGTACGAGAGAAGGAAAAAATTAAATAACTTGATATCAGCGTGATTATAAGCGGCAAATGACTACACAACACGAGAATCGTGACCGGCATGTGACACTAACCTTCTTCTTCTTCACGCCTTTGGATTTTCGGTTCAACACTAACCTAATCTGACCCGCCTCGACCATTCATGCGGTATGTTCTTTTTGAGGACGGTGCATGCACTTTCTTAACACGGTACATCTTCCCTCTTTTTCTCTTTACGTTGGAGAAAACAAGAGAAGAGATGAGCGGTGCATGCACCGTCTTCGAAAAGCGCGTGGGAGAGAGAGAGAGAGCAACGATTGAGGTGCAGAGCAGAAGGTGCGAGCGACGCGACGACGGCGTTCCCACTGTTCGAAAATCGAAACAGCGGGAATTCGGGAAAAGTGTCGGTGCCTGCTCCGCGGAGCAACGTGCGGAGAATCGACATTTTTTCCGAAACAAGTATTACACCCCAGGTCCTTTTTGTACAATATGGATAATGATGGCGTGAATTTTCACAACATCGCGGACAGTATTGTGAGTATTGAGCACGTTGCACGTTACGAGCGATATTCAATCGCGTTGAGCGTGCAACTTTCGCGAGTTGCGAGGTTAGGTTAGGTTAGGTTGCAAAATTAATCTCCGATGTGCATGAAAAAAACGCTACCTTTCTCGTCAATAAACAACAATTCCCTTTTCACCGGAATTTAAACTTACGAAGGCACGTGTACAGTCCGGTCCTTGAAACTTTTTCGGGCGGCCGAAGAAACTTTCACGGTCACGCCGGCATGCCGGTAGCGAGATCATGTTTTGTTTTCTCTGTTATTGAATACGATAAATTATGCATTTCCTCTTTGTCTTTCGATATTCATTTTATGTATTTATTTTATTCAGAGTTCAGAAGGTACAATTTCAGCTGAGAGAATTTTGAATGTAGGCTACTGAAGAGAAATCAATAGCGGTTATGTGATCATTGGCTGCATTTTCCTTTTACATCTTTTGCTTTAATTTTTATGTAAAATACAATCATATTCTGTAACATTCGTGTACTATAAGATTTAACTGGAAAGATAAGCGTATTTAGAAATCCAATCAAGCACACATTTTGTTTGATGCATTTAAATTACATTTTTTAAATTATTTTTGTAAATATCTTTTTTGTTTCATTATTTGTTTTTTTATCGAGATATATATCTATAAATAGAATAAAATTAAATAAATGTATTTTACTCTAAGAAAATTAATATTTTTTAAAGTACCTGTAAAATTTTTTTAAATATCTCTAAAAATTAACACAAAGAATCTGCGCATCGGCCTACACATAGCTTATTATGATTTTAAAATTAATATAGTTTTTTTTTTGCAACATTTTTTTGAAATACGATTTAATCAAGGTATAATTTTCAGGAACACGATTTGAAGGAAAAGAAAGTAAAGGAATCATTTTTATTATTGAAACGAAAAATGTGTAAGACACAGTAAGTATTTCTCGAGTGGTTCTATGTTTATTTGTAATAGATTCGTTTTGATACGACATGCTATCAGTATCACAAAAGAAGTTTAATGGAGTTCTCTATCCATTTCAGCGATTTAATTAAGCAGTATTCCGAAAATATGAAAGAAATCGAGCGTCTAAAGACAGATTTGGAGGTCGCAAAGAGAGAGGCCAAACACACAATAACCAATTATACAACTGCCATGGATAGGATAAGGGAATTAGAACTTGTAAGTGATAATTGTCTAGATTAATTTATTATTAGTGTACTCTTAAATTATATATAAAATAATTTAATAATGGCTATTTTTATATAAAGTATAATCATTTTCAGTAACATTTGTGTACTATGAGATTTAACTAGAAACATAAACATATTTGGAAATGTAATAAAGATTAAGCATACGTTTACTTGACGTATTTAAATTACATTTTTCAAATTATTTTTGTAAATATATTTTTGTTTTATTATTTGTAAATGTAAAAGAATTTCAACTTTTCAAGCTGATTTTGAAAACATGCAAAATTATAAAATACTATTGATACATAATTTATCCATTTATAATATACATTTGTAGAATTTTGCTTTTTACTTATATTGACATATGAACTCTTGTTTAGATCTTTCTACAAGTGAACCGCTCTTTATTTTATTTATTATCGCATTTTCTATGTTAGCAATAATACTTTAAAAATTTCAGAAAATCGTAGAAGATAAGCAAAGTAATGAAAAGTTAATAGAAGAGATAAATACGTATAAGATAAATATAGCTGCGGACGAACAGAGAATAAAACAATTGACATGTAAATTAAACAACCTGGAAGCCGAACATTTTAACTGTTCCATCGTAAAAGTGGAACAAAAAACGAATAAACACACTGTACAACAATTAAAATCTACGATAAAAGATCTGAAAGACGGACTTACTGCTAAAGCTATGGAATATACTCTGGAAAAGTCATGTTTTGAAGGTAGTGATCAATTAAATATTCCTTATTGTATATTTCTTATGTATTATTTGAGAGGCTAAATTTGTTTGTTTATCAGTAAAAATAAGATTGATTTTTTTTCAGACCAAATCAAAGAATTAAAACAAGAATTAGAAAGGTTGAAGGCAAAAGTTGAAAACTACGAGAAGGAAAAAAAGGAAGTTTCTGCAGATACGGCTAAATCAAGTGAGTACAAAATTAAAATTATATATTTATTTTCTTATTATATGCGAGAGAACGATTCACTATGTGAATTAAATATTTATAGGTACAACTTCAGATATTGGTATTAATGTATCGCTATGCGATATTGAGTCGAGCGTAAAGCCGAAAGTACGAAACCAATATATTCTGACTGACGAATTTTATAACATCAAAAATGATCCGCATCCATTGTTTTGTGCAAAATGTGAAGCTCATTTGCCTCCAGAATTGACTCCTGAAATGATATTCAAAACCATGACCACGTATCCGAAATTAATTGAGAAAGATTTATCTCTTCCACCAAAGAAGATTTATTCGCCGTCGTGTTCATTACCTAGTAAGTAGCAATTAAAATTAATGTAAACGTAGGTAGGATAGTTCAATAGAGTGTCCTTGAAATAGGTCTCGATTGATTAGTTATTGATTATTAGAATTACGATAAATAAAATAATTATTGTAATAAAAATTAAGATAATTGTAGTAAAATCATGAAAATGACTAATGCAATGATATGTGCGTCAATCAGCGTAAAAAATATATATTTATAATATTATACAATATCTATATTACAATATCAGCATTGCATCGTTATATTCATTGCTTTTACATTTTTATTTTTATTTTTAGGTACATACCCGGGTTCCATAAATAGAAATGAAGACACTCTTTCTAAAGTATCTGCACCGCAATTGAGTCCGTACAGCCTATACAGTGAATCAGTAGTGACCAATCTGAAATCTCAGTCGGGACGATCGTCCGCGATGACACAGGTCTCCGAAAGTGTTGAATTGAGAAATGATAATTTGCATTTACCAACCAATCCGATGTCCAGTAATGTCAGTTCAGTTCCTACAATGCTTACCTTGTCTCAAAATAGAAATTGCACGAGGGAGGATTTCTACTCCAACGATTTGCTGACCAAACACTCGTCGTCTATTAAAGAAATGGAAAGGAAAATTAGGTCTTTAGAAGGTAAAATGAAGAAGTTCCGAAGATTGGAGGAAAAGATGAATTCCAGTTCTCACTGTTGCAGCACGAATCACGCAAACGATATCTCGCTAAACTCGAGTGTGATTTCCATGATCTGCAAAGGTATGGCGGAGTTCTACGAGAGAAGAGAAGCATATTCGAAAAATGAGCGAGATATTGATTCGGAAAGGTGTACGCGTTGCACGAAGAAGACGAAGCTGAAGAGGCGACAGCAACAGTCGAACAGATGTAACGCGTGTGAAAACACGTGTTCGTGGAAGATTAATAAGCTCGATGAAAATGATCGAGTACGGGATTCGTGTTGCAAGACCAAGAATGCCACGAAGACGGCTGGTATTTTACAATCCGAGCACGCGTCGTCGAACGTACATGAGAACAATTCGTCGTCGGATACATCTATGTCTCTTAACGACGATGTGTCTCTTGATGAAACTGAAGACAAAGAAGAGTTCGTCTATGAACAAAATATATTGCATTCAACGGAAGTGGAATCCGTCGAAGATAGTTCACGTTCAAGCGCTAACGAAATATGTGCGAGCGATAATCTCTTAAGCAAAGATAAAGATGATGTAGAAGACGTTGATATAGATAATCAAACAGAGGTTGGAACGGTATTCTTGTCTGAAAATGTCACTGATCGTCCTAATGAAAAAATTGCCATTAATGCAGAGACAAGTAAAATGAGAAAAGAGAGCGAAAGTACACGTGAAGATAAGGCTGACGAAGTACATGCAAACGATAATATAGAAGTCTTAAGCAAAGCTAATGTAGAGGATATCGACATGGACAATCAGGCGGAAGTTGTAACGATATTCTTACCTAATAATGAAAATTTCGCTGAACATACTTACAGCAAAACTGTCGACATTAATACAGAGAAAAATGAAATAAAAGAACAGGTTCAAGATGTGTGTGAAGATAAGGTTGGCGAAATACATGCAAGTGATAATCCCTTAAGCAAAAATAATGAAGCTACCGGCACGAATAACCAGACAGAATTTGAGATGCTATTGTTACTAAACGATGAAAATTTCCTTAATCATATCGATGCCAAACTTCTCGAAATTAATGCAGAGGAGACTATTGACATGGATAACCAGACAGAAGTTGGAACGGTGTTATTGTTTGACAATGAAAATTCCGCCGATGATGGCAAAATTGGTGATAATGATGCAGATAAGATTGAAACAGAAAGAAAGAGCCAAAGTACATGTAACGATAAGATTAGTGAAGTACATGCAAGCAATAAATTCTTAGACAAAAATAATGCAGAAGCTGTGGATAGTCAGATAGAAACTACAACGATATTATCCAACAATGAAATTTCCATTGATCATTCTTATAGTATAAGTACCAATATTAATGCGGAGAAAAATAAAATAAAAGGACAGAATCAAGATACACTTAAAGATAAAATCGACGAAATACATGCAAGCGATGATCTCGGTAAAAATAATGTAAAAGTCATCGATACGAATAACCAGACAGAAATTGGAATGACTGCCTTGTCTAACGACGAGAATTCGGTTGATCATACTGAAATTGTCAACGTTGCAGAAGAGGCTACTGATATGGATAACAGGACAGAAAATGGAACGGTATTCTTATCTAATGAAAATTCCACTGAGGGCAAAGTTGCTGATAATAAGGCGGTCAAAAATGAAATAAAAAGAAAGGGCCAAAATACGCACGAGGATGAGGTTGGCAAAATAAATACAAGCGATAATTCTACTAATGATATCAAAATTGTTGATAATAATGACAAAATTGAAATAAAAAGAAAGGGCCAAAATACACACAAGGATGAGGCTGGCAAACTAAATACAAGCGATAATCTCTCGAGCAAAGATAATACAGAGGCTATGGATGACCAGACAGAAACTGAATCGATTGAATCCTTATCTAACGATAGAGATTCCACCGACCAGGCTGTTGGCAAAATTATCGTTCTTAATGCAGAAAAAAGAAGGAAAAGAGGCCAAGGTATACAGAAGGGTAAGGTTGGCGATCGCATATTGAAGAAACTTCGGAGCTTGAAGAGGAAGACGCAGGCGAGTCCGTGCGTAAACAAGCAGAAGAATGTCGAATCCTATTTGAATTCTAGTGTTGAATATGAATTAACGAAAAAACCGCGAATTGAGAATGAAGACAAGATTAGCTCGAAAATGAAGCAAGATTATGGCCCGCTGGAGCAAATTAAAATTTTGAAAAGGAATTTAGATACACAAGCGGAACCTGTGAATAAACAGGGAGACAATAATCATTATGAACCGACGAAAAAATTACGAATTGCACATACCCCGAAAACGTCCGTTGATCAGTCGAGCACCATTAAGAGTGATTTTACGCATAGCATGATAAGAAATATAGCTACTTTAGCGATTCGACGGATAGATAGTGGAAAGCAACAATTAAATAAGAAAAATAATTTAACTGAAATCAAGAAAATTGTTACAAGAAATAAGTGCGATGAGAAAAGCGTTGTCAATTCTATCGAAACAAATAATATTGATATCAGGCCTGTACGAAGACCTCCTCAAAATAATGATACCACTTCGTCTGCTGTTGAACATGTTTTTGAATTTGGAAAAAGTGATAACGTCTCTACTGAAGGTACAAACAATCGAAGTGTCTCAGTGGACAGAGTAATAGAGACGTCGAACGACGAACCGAGTGTATTACATAATGATACTGCAAACGATACGACGAATAATTCAGAAATTGAGGAATCAATTCTATTGAGAACACGAGTTGTTACACGCTCTAAAGACTCGAAAGGCAACAAGGTCAGCAAAGCACTGGAACGAATTAAAACTAGAAAAGAGACAATCACTGAATGTACGTCTGAGACACTTGAAAGTAAGAATAACAATCAGAAAATATCAAAGAACGCGATTTCGAATGACGAGTCGTCGGTTCTGCAGGATCGATCAACCGTGTTGGAAGTAACGCGAAATGGAGATCGTAATAATAGCGATACACTTGACGGACCTATTGAAGTTCCTATTCTACGTTCACCGTCGTCACCGAGGGACAGCGGTATCGTGGTTGAGGGCTGTACAATTGACGGTAGCATGAAAGAATCTCTCGATGAAGTAAAAAGTGCAATAAACGAGCGAGAAGAAGCGTGCGTTAATAAGGAAACAGGTGGAATACGGACTATCATGACTCGGAGAAGAAGTGCGAGTCAACGAGGTAAAGAGAAGGAGTTTAACGTTATTTCTCATCGCGATGTCGAGGAGTCTCAGAGCCGCGACAACAGTGAGACATCCGACCCTACCTACGTTCTACGCTCACCGTCACCGAGGAACAGTGGTATCATTTTTGAAGATTCTAAAAATGACAATAGCATGAAGAAGTCTGTCGAGAAAACGGGAAATTCGAGAAACGAACGAGAGAAGACGTGCGTTTATAATGAAGCAATAGGGGTGCATGATGTCGATGGAGAACTCCAGACGCCAATGATGTCACGATTAGTTGAATATATTAATGAAAATAAGAAATGTGCCAGAAGATATAAGAGGACACGTAGAGAGATAGAAAACGCTCGAGAAGTAGCAGGTACTTAATAAAAATATGACTTAAAGAAATAGCAGTTCTCAAAATGCATGTTTAAAGAAGAAGTTTAAAAGGGAACGCTTAGAGTTTTGAATACTTTCTCTCAAAATATATTTTCCTTTTGATTAATAAAGATTACTGATATAATTCTGTGTATCACATATGTTTCAGATATATTTATAAGGCACCAATTGAACAGACTTATAAACAGTACCTGGGAAAATTCTATACATGATGATGTAGTAAAAAAATTAAACAACACGTGCGGACCTCGTATCATAGCCAAGTTAGTATAACATTTTGCAATCTGTCAAATATATAAAAGTCAGAATTGTACAATATACTGAAGATGTTTAATCGTGTTAACGAGGCACTGTGCAGCAAAGAGTTGATTCCTGATTAAAATGAATGTAGCTACAAAATTAGAAGTTTGCTCGTTAAATGAATAAAATCAGTGAAAAATAATATCTCTCTCTTGCGTGCAATCTAGATGCATATTGGAGTTTTTACTGTCGGAGGAGGTCGATCACAGTGAACCCCTGGACAACACATACACTCCCCCAGCACCGTTGATGACGACATTCGAGCAGAAGATCATAGCGTTACTGTTCGATTTGGAAGTGTCGAAGCCGACGGTGATTCATTTCGTACAAGCCGCCATCGAATATCATCTGTGTAAACTTAGCACACATAGCGAAGTGAAGGTTCGTATTTTATTTGTCTCTAATTAGAACGTAACAAAGTCAAATCAGGTCGTTACAACAACAACAAAAAACGGCACTTTCGTCAATTCACAAATTAATGCTGACACTTTCACATGTACTTCCAGGTCCAAATTGACTCGCTCACGCGGATATACGTCAACCTGTCGCGTATTCAGAAGGATAGGGAAAAAGTACGCATGTTGTGTTGCAGTGCTCTCTATTGCATGGGCCTTCAGTCGATACGCGTTTTGTATACAATATTAACGTGCTGGTCTGAAGTTCTTCCGAATGCCGAGGCTCACAAAGGTATCGTACATGCTGCACTTCAAAAGAAGCTATTTTTGTATATTTCAATAGGAACAGACGCCGTGTGACGAGTGTGATTTCGGTCTCTGGTCGTTGAAATCGCTGATCACAAAATTACGTCGCTTCGTGAAATTTATGCCTGTAAAATGTGTACTATTCGAATTCTTCCAGGAATACTACCAAAGTGCGTAGCCTTCCTTATCAATTCGTATCACATCAGCGATCCTCACACGAACACTCTAAAGCGGTTACTAAGCAAATTAATTGCGTTAAAGCAATTGATAGCGAAATTTTATAACTATACTTTCATTGATGAGACAACAAATGATATGATCAAAGAACTCGTAACTGCTCTCAAAGGTAAGCACATTTTTCGCGTTTCTACGGTTTATATTAATTAATTGTAAACTATATTTTGCCTAGCCGAACGGATCGACGGCTTGGATACAGCCATTATACTTGTTGCAAAGCGAGAAGGGCCGTCTTCGACGTATAAAAATATTATTGATTCTACTCTACTGCCAATGATCATCAGAGAAGAGCATCCAAATGTATATAGTACATTTTCCTTACTCGGTACGATATTTTTTTATTTTGTTCATTTATTTACTTTATTTATGTACTAAATTTTTGACAAAAGAATCCTAATGTATATCATGTTTTGTGCGTTCGCAGGAAGGCTTCTGCGCGCATTCCCAACAACAGATAATGACAATATTGTGCAGAACATCAGTGAACAGCTCCGTGACCTCATCCAATCTGGCCAAGGTGATACATTCGTTTTTTTTTTTTTAATGAAAAATCTAGTTTTTAATAAGCAACATAGCGCATAGTTTTGCGACACAATATACACATCTGATCTGATTGATTTTTAAACAGTTTCGCACGAACTGCAAGAAGGTATAATATCTACGTTGCTCAGCATTTCAAGACACAACTTCAACATCGTCGCGTCGTCTGTGATAAAGTGGATACCGAGTAAACCTTTAAGGCCGATTATCGACAGGCAGTTAGAGACGTTCCTAAATTCACGCAACTCAAAGTTTTGGAAGAATTTCTTACAGAATGAACAAATTGGACTTAACCAAAGTAAAGCGTGATTAAATTGTGTAAGTGTAACATTTGTTTTTTTGTTTTTTTTTTTCAATCATTATGTAATCTGCTCACAGCTTACAGCTAATTAAGCAGATTTACGATGCATTAAGCAGAATTACAATGAAAAATGAGTATTGTCAATTAGGAACGTAATGCTTAATGCTTAAAAATTTTGAATCACTTCGTCTGTTATTTTGTTTTAACAAAGTTAACTTAATGAAGAAAGAACATAACTTTGTGATTTACAATAATTTGTTGTTACTTTCTCACTTGCCAATCTGACATATGATATAATTTTGATTTAATATTTCTACTAATTCACATATTAATGTGTTCATTCATAAAATAGATTAATTTTTGTTTCTTAATTTACTATAAAATTTTGCACATTGTTAAAAAATTGTTTTTTAGTTTTAATGTTTAGGAGAGAATTACTTTTCATTGTATTTATAAAATATTGAAATGTTTCTTTGATTTGGAACAAGTAATATCTCCTTTTGTAAAAAATATATAAAATATAAAATTATGTCTTATACATCGAGATCACTTTTCACGAAACTCCTCTTAAATATCCTAAAGATAATCATATTTTCCGATTTTCGTTTAAAGATCCGAAAGGCTTGAAGAAAGAACGTATCTATTAAAGAACATAATTAGAGAATCAATGAGATCGTGGCAAAGAAATAATTTTGTACACACTTAGTGCCTCTTATTTTTTATTTGAAATTTAAATACATTTATGCTCCTTAAATGTAGTGTAGCTAACCAGCGGAAAAATGCAATAAAACGAGTCAAATGAATATTGAGTAAAAAATAAAAATTATAATATTCCGATCAATATTTTAGCAACGCATTGAATTAAATTTTATTTCTAAAATACAATTGTGGGACAAACGTTGACATTACATCATTTCAATGAATATATATATTTCCTCGTAATACATTATCCGAATACATCACAATAATGTCGCTGGATGTTCTCCCTGGAAAAGGCCAGAGAGAAAAGAAAAATGTTGAAAAGTGAGAGAAATGTTCTCTCTGAGAAGGCAAAAATTTCGAGTGGCAAAAAGTGCAAGCGACTCGGACTTGTCCAAGACTTGGGGAATTTTGGGGCATTCAGGGCTTAGGAAATTTTGTCGTTCGCGATTGGCGCGCCGGCGCCATCGATTGATTCTAGGCATTCCAGCTCCGCAACGGTCAGAAACTTCGCGAAGGATGGCACCAGTTATTGGCGTTTACAGCCGGTGTCGGGCCGGTGTTACCTTCTCGAAAGAGCGTCTCTCTCGTGAAGATACTGACCGGCGCCGCCGCTGTCGCCGTCGTCGTTCGCCGGTACACGCACAGTGCCCTCGGATCCGGACGATCCGGTCCAGTTTGGTCCAGTTTCATCATTCGGAGGCATATCGGGGACGTGTCGCACACGTCCGCGCTGTCACACGAAATAAAGGAACGACGGTCGAGCGAGCGTTGAGGTGGGTGTCCCAAGTCGACCGGTCAATTTTGCCCTTCGATGATGATCGTCCGGTCGGTCGGTCGATTGATCGGGCCGGCTGGCGAATAATAGGAACGTCGTCACGTGCGCTTCATCCGCCGATCGCGATTTTTTCACGCTTCTGTTTTTTTTTTTTTTGCGGCTTCTCAATCCCATCGCGCTCGTCGGAAGGTAGCGGCAAAGGTATACCGGAAGGTCAGCTGCGCGGAAGCAACGTTTGAACGGAGCGAGCCGGACTTCCGCGCGCTGCGTAGCTCCGCTTTCTTCGCGGAGCGCTCGTAGGCGTATTCTCTGTAATCCGGGAATCGGAGCCGGTGGGCTCACGGTCTCGTTCGGCGGCACATGATCTATATCGGCGAGCACGGTCACGCGGTGCTCGCCGATCAGTCATCACTACCGCGCATCACAGGTGCGCCAAAACTCCGATTAACTTGATAGGCTTATCAGCTGATGCTGGTTCGTTGACATTGAACTAGAATTCTTTAATTTTTTGTTTAAATGGAGAAAGGCACGAATCGGAAAAAAAATGAATTGTACAGTTTGATTTTGCTTCTTAAGCAATTCTGTCGATTAAATTAGTCGGAGTTTGGTTGAAGCTCCAGATGCAGACGCTGCAAAAAGAAATGAAGTGATGACAAAAAGATAACGTGTGAGCATCTTAACTGATAAAGTATACAAATGTCTGTGTCGTATATACGCCGAATTTTATTGGTCACGAAGCGCTTATAATACACTTTTGCACTTTGATATATTTATGTATAGCGATCTGTAGCGTTAGAAAATTATCTGTATATATCGAACTCGCCGTATATGTTGACTCGCGACGGAATATTTTACATGCAGCTCGTTTTTCCCTGTACCTACCTCACGGAAAACTGACCTCGCCGCGACAAATCTGTACCGCCGCGATTTCGCAATCTACTCCGGACCGAGAACTTGATCAAGATTCAATTTGGCGCGACGCCGAGAATACCGCGCGGATAGACGTGAAATAAAGTCGCGCGCATGAAGGTACACGAGTGTGAGGACCGCGCGTGTGCCGATCTGCCACGCATTTTTTTTTTGTCGTTGCACACGTGTCCGTAAAAGAAAATCACCGGCGATAACCGCGAGTACATAGATTCGCACGTGTATCTATCGAATTAATTTTCGCGCGGAATTAATTTTCTCCTCTCGAACAACTGCAGCCTTGGTCTTCTCCGATCATCCGTCGAGAACAGATCCGATTTTCTTGACGCTTTCTTTCACCTTCAAAGAGATAAGTCTGCAACGTAAGTCTCAGACAAAAATAATTTTCGCGGGAAGAAAACGCATTTCGAAGAGACAGATCTAACGCGACGGGAGTAAATAAAAAAAGACAAAGTAGAGAAAAAGTAATGCACGCGCACACATACACACACACACACACACACACACAAAACACAACACAATTTCAGTGAAAATAATTGCTTGAATGCTTGCGTGTTGATGTGTAAGAAATTGTAATTATACACACGCGATGTGAACGCAGTTTCAATTAAATTGGTTGACTACAAAATTTATAGAAAAAATGGTCGCCGTTAAATTTTCGCGATCGATCCTTCGTAACCGCGCCGGCTATTTCCGATCTCGATTACGAAAGAGCTGAATTTAACTGATTCACACAAATGGAATGCGCCCACCACTTTCACGGTTCCCAAGGAGCCGCTCGAACACGTGTCGCGCGAGGCGCTTCGATGTTACGTAATAACAAGGTGCCAGCCAGCGTTGTCTTGTGACAAACGGAGCACGTGGACTCTCGAATTCTGAGAGCCCCTCATTAATGACACGAGAAAGCTATCGCACTTAAACAGTTAGACTTGATGTATTTTCTACGACACCTGTTTATATATATTTAATTTAAAATAAAAAGAATAGCCAATTTTATTCTTTAAATGGTGACTATTATAAATATATTGTTCTAATGCACGTTATTTTCTAATTTTTTTTTAGGTTGACGAAACTTGAAATTTATACTTAAAAAATTGGACTTTATATTATTCCCATTATTATGTCTGCGTTATAATTATTTTACGATAAAGACTGATTTATTTACATAAAAAAAAGGATTCATTTTTATTTATCCTTTAAAATGTATTTTTCCAATGCAGCTTATTCTCCTATTTGCTTTATCGACGAAATTTTACATTAATTTCGCCTACGTCGTATAAGCAACGTTAATTAAAACTCCTTAATGTGCTCCAGGTTTCCGAAACTATAAGAGACGCTGATGGCACTCGATTGTGTTTACACGTATTGTTAGTACGTTCTTGCTCCATTACCTTGGCACATATCCGCTTTTTACGTGTTTCCTTCCTGATAATGTACCCTCCGTTGGTCGAAATTGCTCGTCTTTTTGCAACGCAAACATGCAATTGAAACCGATAATCGAACAGCGATGAATAAATCAACTCAAGAGAATGACTCAACAAGAAGGGCAATAAGGTAAACGATGAAAAACCACTTATTTTATTTTATCATATTTCTAAGGAAATCTAAGAAAGTGCCCGATTTTTAATTTAAACTTTACAGCGTTATTCTATGACATGCGCGTCTCGGCTTCTTCGAGGATACTTTCGGGCTTTCACAATCAAATCAGAAATCGCACATTTCGGCAATTACGCGTGATTCACATTTTAACGCCCCGAGACGTTCTACGTGAGCGCGTTATCGCGGTTGAGAGGTCACGCTGATTCTATTGTCCAACGTCCAACGTCTTATCTGCAAAATAGATTTATTCATAGATCAGTAAGTACATCCGGAACGACGGACGTAATAAACTTATTTACAAGACATAAAAGTTGAAAATGAATAAAAGAAGTGAAAAAAGATATAGTGTTATATAAAAATACAGATTAGATAACCGTCGAGAGCCGCGCGGAATCCGAAAAAAAATCTGACGTTGAACCGACGGCATTAATCCGATCGAAATACTTTAATCGTTGTGCAATACAGCGCAGCGTTGATTAGATCCAATTAATGTACGCTGTTATCGTTTTATGATTTCAATTAAATTTTGGATCTTAATAAAAGATAAACAGTGATTCGTGCTTTTCGTTCGAGATATCCATAATATAAATATAATTCAATTAATAAATCAAAGGAATTCCCAGTAAATTCAACAATTTAGAAAATATGGGCTAATGGGAATCAGCGCGGTAATTGGTGCGCAATGATAATTTAAGTGAATATCACTATTTGTTTCGTGTAAGTAGATTTATTCCAACGTTCGGCCATGGCCGAAACGTTTGGAATAAATCTACTTACACGAAACAAATAGTGATATTCACTTAAATTATCATTGCGCACCAATTACCGCGCTGATTCCCATTAGCCCATATTTTCTAAATTGATAAATATAATTGATTTTTTTTATAATACTCATATCTTTACGATTTTCATTGATAATAACAAAAAATATCGCGAGAGCATTAACTTGTCAAATTAGTAGCTTTAAACGTGCGCGTATAAATATTAGATATACCAATTTTTTTATTTCAATAATTCACTTTTTCGTTCTAAAATTCCTCGCACATTTTTATATTTCTTAAAGTAGTGATGCGCGATCCGATTCATAGCCGAAAATATTTATATTTTCTATTTTATACAAAAAAATTTTATAAAAACGATAACATTATGCGTTAAGCGCCTTGGTTATTTAAAAAGATCCATGCAACTTTTATTCATTTTTTTCTAAATATTACACACAACCAAGAAATTATATACACTATATACATATATGTATATATATGTATGTATGTATATCGCTTTAGACATTCTATTCATCTGTGTTAAAATTCAGGATAGAATCAGAGTAACACCGTACTAAAATTCCATTTATAATTTATATTACGTAGAATTTTATGTTATTTTATCTAACAAGGAATGTTGAAGAATTAAAATACACAGAACATACGTAAAATATTTATATTAAAATACGCAACATGTAAAATTAGAAACAGAACTTTATCCTGAAATCTGACGCAAATTTGTAGAGCTCTAAACTACGTACAAAATTCATAAAACTGGAAAAATTCAATCGTTACAACAATGGTTGTCGTTCAATCGTTACAATAAATGAATGCGTAGCCTTACACTCGAAAGAGCGAAACAACACTCAGTCATACGAATAATTTTAAAATGCATCAAGCAGTGTAAATAAAAACTGCACGTGGCTGAAATATCTCCATATTCCGCCTGTCGACGGACAACCCGGTGTACGTGCAGCTTCCGATGAAGAGCGCTGAAACATGCATACGTGCATACATATTCAGTTTCTTTTATTTCCTATAGTATCGCGCAATATTCAGGTATATACTTAATTCATTTACACGCGATTGTTCATCCAGATTGCTTTGGAGTTTGACGCTCGCGCGTGCCGGTGCTGTGAGAAATATCCACGCGAAGGTCTCTTACGTTTTCCGTATACTTGAATACATTTACAAATCCAAGTTACATATTTGAAATCGTTATTTGAGACTCGCGAACTTCGCGAGAATATGCATACAGCCTCCCGACGTCACTCTCCGCGTCGCGACACTTCCAGGACGAGGAAGATAACGTACTTCTTCAAATTGTAATTAGTCCCTGCCCTCTTCTTCTCTCCTTGTTTTTCGTTCGCGCGTCATTAATCCAGCCGAGAAGATGGTAAATATCTTTTTGCTTCCGCGTGGGTTAAAACGCGCGCACCGCGTGCGCGGCGCGTGCCAATTTTCCGCGCTTCGCCGTGAGCCTGCCGCGATGACGACAATGACGACAAGACGGCGACGACGCGACGGTGACACGCATGCGGAACGTGACGATAACATCTTTTTTTTTTCACAATCGGATGCATTTGCATCACGGCTTTCGGCTAGAAACGCGCTGAGCGCAAATGACTCACCGTGAATCTTCTTCCTCGGAGCCGCGGAAATCACCGATCGATATTCCGATAATCACTTAAATTTCCACGTCAAAGGTGCTCACTCGGGAAGACGTAAAGTCGTTTTTTTTTCCCACTATATTTAGTTATCGGTAATTTCAAGATGTTGGAAGTCTACGAAGCGTCACTTTTCATCCGTATTGGAGCGTTAATCCTTAACTGATGAGACGGCGCTTACACCGTGCGAGCTTCTTCACGATTTACTGATAAGATGACGCTATTCACTTATCTAGGTTCAACGGAAAGAAGGAAATATGATTATCTTATCTTATGTAAAGAACATCGAACAATCGGTGGCAGTTTAGAAATGAAATTGTTTGCACGCCGAGAACGGAAAAATACTTGCCCGAGATGAACTCGTCACCGTCAGTGTTCCGTATCGAAAATAACGCCCTTGCCGGGTTATGGATTAAATTGATATACGCAGCGAAAAAAACAAAAATCGATGACATTGACGATCCGCCGCTCAAATCCGTGACATATAAACACAGATGTCGCGCACGAGGAAAGGTCGATGCTCGTTCGCGCAAGGTGAAGAACACGGTCGTACGATCGATCGGGGGCATCGGATTCGGGGCGGTCAGTGATCGATCGTGCGCGTCCAGAAGCGCGTTTCGAGCGTCGCGACGCCCGAAATCCGCCGTTGCCCGAGATCCGATGGCCCGAAGTAACGGTGAGAGTATCGCGGATCCGGGGGAGCGGGCGGTCCCGCGCGATATCTCGCGCTCGGGGAACGGGGGCGCGGGGTGTGTCACCCCGGTGTGTTTACATGGCATTCGACGCGGTGATGATGGGTAGCCGCAGCATCTCGGTCGCGGAGAGACCGTTGTGTTTGATCGCGCGATGACGGCGGCGACGGCGGTGGCGGTCGAGAGGACGGATGCCGGTCGCGCGCGCGGGTGGTGGTCGCGAAAGGTCGCGGCCTCCCGTCATTGATATGGTTATAGGGAGTCGCACTTTGGACCAAACGGCCGGCCGCGCCGACTTAAGAGGGATAAAACGCGACGGCGTTAGTTGTGTTCGATTTAGTGTCGCCCCGGCCGCGCAACGTGACGCATCGCGCAACCTAACCCGATCTACCCGCTCCCGCGCTCGCTTGCAGGTTTTTTTTTATTTTTTTTTTATTTTTCCCCCCTTCGCCTCTCTCTCACTCTCTCTCTCCTTCCGAGCCCGCGATCTTATAAACCGGCGACGGATAAAACGCCGGTGAATCATGGACCCCGGCCAAGAGCGACAGTAAAACCGCAGCCGCGAAAAGCTTTTCGCGCACGCGAGCCGATTTCTATCAGGAAGAGAGAGAGGGAGAATAAAAGAGCCGCATCTCTTTTTCCGTCACCGAGTCACCGCGCCGAACGCACGTGACACACGACGTTCCGCGTGGGCAAGGACGACCGTGTTCGAGAGAGACCACGGCGACCAAACGTTCCGCCACGCGCTTCCCACCTTCACGTTCCCGCGTGAGCCCGCCGCGATACTACACCAACATCACCATGTGGTCCACAGAACCGGGTAGCTTCACCTCCAACGGGAGCATGATCGTGGTGAGCAACAGGTTGCCGTTTGTGCTGAAGAGGAACGAGATAACCGGCCAGCTGGAGCGCAAAGCCAGGTGAGTGTGTCTCGCCTTCTACCTCTTCCCTCTTTCTAGCGAAAGGAAACAAAACAGGGGGACACCGTGCGCGAGACCACGTGTCAATCTGAATGACAGTGTCGCGAGAAGAGAGAGAAAGAGAGAACTTGGCTGTCACTTTGCATTCACGTTTGTCGCGAGTGCTCGCGCCTCGAACGGCGTGATTACATGCATTATGCAGCGATCGCATAGATTTTGTTGTTAAAAAAAAATCTCGTCTGACTTTTTTTGCATTTTGCTTAATACGTAAATGACTGAAACTTCAACCGTGTCGCGAATGCAAAGCGCTTGGTACTCGCCATTACATTTTACATCATCGTTCTGTTTTTATATATACGTCTAATTTTACGTCCAGAGAAAATATCCGAGGACGTGTCTCGCGCGTGTGTTGTATTTTCTTTTGTGATAATCAGACGGACGGACTTGTACTGTTGCAGCTATTATTCGAGCGATTCTTTCCCATCGTTTCTTTAGATCGTAGTGTCAGTTGCAGTATTTATTCAAAGCTTTTGACATTTACGTCACTTTGCATCTTGTTCTTTTTTTTTATATGTTTAACTGAAAAACTGCGGTTCAAGGTAACGAATGCGACAGTTACTTGCGATTATGTGTCGTCTTCGCAGTTACATCATTCGCCGCTGTCGTTATCTTTACATATAGGATACCGCCAGACTACAGGATGCTCTTCTGTAGCATAACAATGATTGCACGTATTTTGACTCGGTTTCTCTCGCCTCGATTATTTTTAAGCAGGCGTTATTAAAATAAAATTACGTAAAGTGATTACTAAGACGGAGTTTATTAAAAGAGTTTAAGCCATAACAAGCCATAGGAGTTTATTTGCTGTAATAATAAAAATTTGTAGAATATTTTAATTCAAGTTTGGTACTAAATTAAATTTTTTTTTCATTATAACGCACACAGAGCGAGTTATTTTGTGAAAATACCGCATTTATAATTATCTAAAATTGAATTATTTCCCGTTTTAGAATTATAGTAGCGTCAAAAAAGAAATCATAAGAAGCCGCGCACCACCAAGTGCATGTTCCACTTCGTGCGAGGTGGAAGGAGAGATATGTGGCGAACGTGCACATGTCACAAACAGAATGAGCGATTATTTCAATAAAAGACGCGTCGTATCAGAAAATAAATATGCGACGTATATACATAGATACAGTCAACAGACACAGCACAAGTTCGGTGATGTAATCGCGGTGACAAAAATGCGAATAACAAAGTTCAACTTAAAATTTTCATATTTGGAGAGTGATAGAGTCTCTTCCTACTTGACAAATATGTTGACAATACGATCTCGTGTACGCGACAGACGACACCGTTTACACGCTGCTGTAATGCTGTATCTGTGATCGGCGCGCGCACGCCAGCCGAGAGAGCCGATCGAGAAAATTCGATACACGCCGCAAAATCTCAGCCAAGAGCGATTGGTAATGCGTGGACAATTAATTGAATTGATAAAAGGAGTATCGATTAAGACGAGAACGAGCGTGCACACGAGGCGTTCCCCTTAATCGCATTCAAAATAACTTTTTTCGACGAGCGCCGTAATCTAATCGCGGGCAAGTGGGTAATGCTCTTACAAAATGTCACGCGGAATTTGTGTATCCCGGATCCCGAGGGGTAGATTATTAGCGTGAATAATTCTTACGTTCTCTCGGCGCGATCTAAAGACGGATGCGGACTTGTTGCGTACATCAATATATAATTATCAATGTATAATTCAACGATACGACACGCGATGCGCCTTTGCATATCATTATCGTGTCACAATTTTGATATGGTGCAACATTCCGTCCAACACCGATACGCAACGATGATACGACACGCGGATACAAGTCTATATCCGCCTTTAGTGCCTTTACACTCGGAACGTCTGTGTCCCGAAATTGTTACAGCGGATAAAAAGTCGGCGTGATAAGAAATGCAAACTGTCCACGCGTGCGAGGGAAGGTTCTTTCAAATCGATCTTTCAAAAGAAAATTACATTTACGACATTCCCAAAAAATTGTAAACTTTCCTGCACGATAAAAGAACGTAAGACTTGATTGGATACAAATTAGAATAAATAGAAATCGAGATTGATTGCAATCGTAAAATTAATGATATAATAAAAAATGTAAGACTTAATTGGATATACAAATGAGAAAAATAGAAATCGGAATTGATTACAAATTAATATTGTAATCAATCTCGATTTCTATTTTTCTCATTTGTATCCAATTAAGTCTTACATTTTTTTATTATATCAACGATTACGATTGCAATCAACCCCGATTTCTATTCTTCTCATTATTTGCATCCAATCAAGTCTCACGTTCTTTTATCGTTGCAGGAAAGTTTTCAATTTTTCGAAATGTCGTAAATGTTTGGAATAAATAAATTTTATTCCAGAGATAATTGTATCTCGAGTTAATTGGCGATCCGTCTCCGTTGCGCGTTTACAGCAATTTCTCACAATTCCATTTTTTTTTAATTAAAAAAAAACTGATATTATCTTGCATGTGCTCGACTGTGACACATCGGCGTTATTTTTGGCATATTCCTCATGGCGCGTAATTATGTTCGAACGATCGATTCTTACGAAAATGGCAATTTGGAAGTGTTCCTGGCACGTAAAGATAAATCGGGCTAATGAAGCGTGCATCACCTGTAGGTATACCACCATCGTATACGAGTGGACGCAATTACCGCGGATTTCCTGGGACGTCCGATAAACGTGCCACGTACGCCACCTGCGTCGTAATCGTCGCACGTGTCTACCGCGTGTCTGGCGCGGTCGCATCCGTGTATTTTGTACTCTTTAGACCGCCTACGCGCCGTAGATCCCGTAGATACGTAGCTCGCGATCGCGTATCCGTGACCGAGAGCAACTCGCGCGCGTCGGCTCGCGTGGAAAAATTCTACCGCGAATGCAGCAGCTCTCGGATTATCGTTTACGGGGGCCGATAACACGGAACGGTCAATTTTCAACACACGGGACAACGTATCAATGCATTCGATTACGCATATGGGTCCGTTTATCGCACACATATATGTATGCACGTCGTATCGTTCGACGTGCGACGGTTTATGCAAACCTTATCCTCTTCTTTCTCTCTCTCTCTCTCTCTCTCTCTTTCTTTCTCTTGCTATACATTATCCGATATTGTTGCACCGAATCGATACAATGTAGTCGCGAGATCAATGCGCAAGTCGTCGGGGAATAATCCGAGGCGAAAACGAAAGCGAGTCGCGATAACGGACTCACGACGTGTTGTTATCGTATACGTTTTACGCGCCCGACTTGATAATTCTCAAAATCCCCACTTCGAGCGGCCGTAAAAAAAAAGTGTCTTTAAAATAGCTCGCGCACACGCGCTGCACGCAGATCGGCGCTAATTCCAACGTCATAGGATTGCCATGTGAGAGGTCGTTGTAAACAGCAATTATAACGCGACCACTGCTAGATAAAAGATATTGATCGTGATAAGGAACAGGCGCGACTCGCGGATCCGTAAACATTCGCGACACTGGTTTGCATTTCTACCGAATTAATTAGGATTCCGCATCGCGCGGACTCGATGTCGAATATAATATACTAACGCGAGAACTAACGTTAGCTTGACTTTTTCTATTTACTTTACCGAATGCATAAATATTGACTAGCAGATCACAAGGCACGGTGGGCGTCATAGAACATAGTACACGTGATGTACTCCATATATCTACCTTACTTCCTTTCATCTCATCCGTATTCTTTCATCAATTCGACGTCGACCTTTGCAATCCAAGGAAGAAAAAATAAATAAATCGTACGCGGATGTTGGTAAACAAGGCTCGCCCGAGTGTATAGACGTGCGTTGACTAATTAGCGAATTGTATCGCGGCGCACAATCCAACGCACAATTACGGATCGGAGTGCATTTTCCGGAAGGTCGCGACATCGTCACGCGCGTTTACGCGCTTTCGACGCACGTCGCGGAAGTCTCTCGGTCGCTCACGGACAAGGCAAGCACAAGCGGCATGCTATGCATTACGTAAACAAGTTGGTCATTATACTCAATGTCGCGCTTGAACGTGTCCGCTAAATGTATAATTAATTAATTACAATCTCGCGTCCTGGCAAAAAAACCCGCGATCGTCGATTAGTTACGGTATTATCACAATCGCGTATATACGCGCTCTCTCTCTCTCTCTCTCTCTCTCTCTCTCTCTCTCTCTCTCTCTCTCTCTCTCTCTCTCTCTGAAATACTTTTGCACGCGAGACATGTTTTTTTTTAAATTTACGATTAGAATACAAGCTTAATTACGTTGTAAAAATGACGAGACTACGGCGTGTAATTCTTTTAATCATCGACTCTCGCAGGCAAGAGAGAGAGAGAGATTTTTTCCCGCTGCTCTCCGAAGTATTTGCGCTTGAAATAAAATTGTTTTTAGACTGGATGCTGGTCGTTAAATAACAACACTATGACTTCGTCATAGTGTAGAATCGAGGCGCCGATAGGTGACCTTATTTTTTATTACTATATAACACGTTTCTTACTTATGGGTCAGTTGTCTGTAAGCAGAATTGTAAGACATATAATTTCGTAACATTTGTAAGAACTTATATGACTGAATGCTTATAATTTTATGCAATATCTTTACAGACAGCTGCTTGCTAGCCGTAAGATTTATAAGAAATCATATAGATATCTACGAATGATCGTACGTCTTATGGTTACGTATAAAATTATAACTTCATGTCATAAGTCCTTATAAAAGTCTTACGAGAACGAGTTATGATTCAGCTTAGAATTGACTCAATTCAACTTAATTAGAGATGTTTTCATTCTTTTTTTTATTGCCCATTTTTCTCACTCTATCTTGATAACGAACAATGATATCGAATTATTTATATTTTTGTCTAGTCTTGCAGAAGTATATTCCTTCGAATCTGAGACTCTTGCTGATCTCAGCCGACTTGCGAACTGCCGACTTGCGAACCTATTTTCGCATACGTTTGTATCTTTTTCGTAAAACTTCTCTTTCTTTTTTACAGCGCCGGTGGTCTGGTTACCGCGGTAGCCCCCGTCGTTATAAGCGGAAATGGAGTTTGGGTCGGATGGCCGGGCATGCACATGGATAACCCGAACGAGCCGATTCCCGAATCGGATCCCAACGATCGCACGCCCACGGCTGGTCTGCTATCGCGGAAGGTGAGTCTCTCCGTTAATGACGACATGTAACAATCGCAACGCAACTGACATTTCGTCGCAATTCGCGGGGTCTTACGTAATTCATTGCTCTTGTATTCGCGGCGCGTTAACGACCATTCATTACGTGGAAAAGAAGGAAACACGGATATCGCTCAACCCGCGGATCGCGGAAATGAAAATTATTTTGATTCTTTTGTGTGCAAATTTTTTTTTTTTTTTTTTTTTTTCGAAACAACCGGTTAAATCGCTCGGAAAATTATAGGTATTCGTCACTGTCGCGCACTTAAGTATCTTATCAATGTGAGAACGCCGGCTTTCCGTTGTAAATATGCGATTGTTACATCACAATGAACAAACAATTGCGACTTACATATTTAAATCAAGCGAGTTTTCAAATTTTCTCACATTGCCTTGGAAGTTTTTGCCTTCTGAACTGACATTCTTCGAGATGGATATGCGTTTAAGGTGATTTTATCGAGCAAGTCCTAGTCAAAAATTAGTCCTTCCATATGACTAATAATTCAATAAAAACATTTTGCATAGACTGTACGTATGCGATTGTGTGACGTTTACGTGACAATGTCACACTATTGAGTTGGCGTTGAGTGATAAAACCACCTTAACAAAAATTTATTATTAATGTTCGACAACAATTCAAAGGAATGAAACTTGCTCTTGAGATCTTTGTTCTCGACCATCGTAGGTCGTGTATAGCAGTATCTTTTTATAAAGTGTTCAAATATTCCGTAATTGAGACATCCTCGCAAACATCCTCTGGATATTTTGGTTGAAACGAGTTCAAAGAAAGTCTTTCGCAAGCCTCAGGCGGGCCAAGCGGCGCCACGTTATCGTCGCCGTTTATCATTGACGCGAAATGTATTAACCTTGGCATTGACAACGTGTGTGTGTACCTCCGCATGGCGGAGAGAATAGTCATCATTCCCCACCTCAATCAACCTGTAATATTCCATGCCGTCGAATGGAAAACGAAATGGTCACCTTTCGCGGCAAGCGGCGTCGACAGTAACTCAACGCTCTTCTCTCCTTGTACCTTTCGTTTGTAAACAATTAGGAACCAATGCTGTTCGATCGATAACGCCACATGGAATCGTGTTTGCGAATTTACGAAGTAACTGAGTTCGTCCGAAGACTCGGCGAATAACATTGCAGCGATACGTCGATACGACGAAAATCGCTTTCCCCGCGGTGAAGGAAAATCGATTCGGAGATGCCCTTTGCCTTTGCATTTCCCCTCGACGTTAAGAAAGTTCGGCGACAGCTCAAAGCGGCTTTATTTATAGACTGTTTTCCCGGACGATATCGCGTATTTTCCGACAAGAACAACGCGACTATGCCTTCCGATAAGCGATCATTTTATTCTCTTTCAACACGTATAGAGCATAAAGCTTTTGTAATGATTAATGCGCGCATTTCATATTGCTAATCGTCATAAACCGTCTTGCCGTTAGTGGTATAGATTGAAGCAACACGATAAAAACGGCGCGTTTCAACAGCAGTAAACGTTTTTTACATTAACGGTTTTTATTGTAAAGCTCGCGATAGAGAAACGCTCGAGGGAGTCTTTTTTTTTCTTTGAACGTAGAAAACAAATGTTGAAATTGCGACGTTTGGACACGCCGACGCATCCGGGAAAAACGGTGCCGATAACATTAACAGTATATTATGCACGTACATTCCGCGGCCCGCGTGAACTGGGGCTAACTGATCTCCGACCTCCGATTTAATTCTTCATCCCCGAGACTGAACTTGGACAAGTGCGTGTTTTTATACGTGTTGCGTAACAATCAGGCGTGCAATGTCAAGCGCATTTAACATAGTCCGTTATTATTACTATTATTAGTACCGTCATTGTTGATCTAATTTTTCTTATTATTACTGTTACTTATTATTATTATTATTATTATTATCAGTCGCCTAACGTCATTTCGAGCGTGAATGAACCCGAAATGGCTGGCAGTGTCACGGATATTCGTGTCACGAGGTCGATCGGTGGGTTATCGGCTGCACGTCGACGGCGTTGCAAGCCTGTATCGTCTGTAAAGTGGCGACTTCTGGCTAGCTGTCGGCGATTAGCGGATTAACGGGCGCGTATGGTACACCCACACGCGGACGTCGGCGACGGATCACGTGAATCGCCGCAAGAGCCTTTTCAAGATCGTCGATAACGATGTCTAAGCGATAGCCTACGACACCGTTAAACAAAACGGCGGCGGCCGATTAAGCCCGACGCGGCCGGGCAGGCTGCGTGGCGACGGACGTAACGATTATCGTTACATGGAAATTTTCACGCAACGTGGCGCGGCTTACTCACAGCTTGCTTAGTCGGCGTGCGACGTGACGGGCAAACGGGGAAAAAAAGAGAAGGAAAAAAACCGATCCCGGAAAGTATTGATTTCTCGCAGATTAACCGCGAGCAAATCGTGCGATTTCGAAAAACTACGTAGAGAGACACTACTAAAAAAATTCCTAAAAAATGATGACGGCAAAGAAAAATATATAAATATACTTATATGTTTGGACGATTTAAAGTTTCGATCGTAAAAATACAAAGGAGGGGCCTAAAAAATTATAGCTTTCTTTAGAGAAATATTTTATTTAAAAAAAGACAACCCTGCAGATAGCACAGAGAATGAAAAAAGAACTCGGTTATATGTCGCTAATTCTGAGTTCATTTTCAGATGCAAAAAGAATTCTTTTTCTAAAAGGGATTCTCTTTGCACCTGAAAATGAACTCAGAATTGATGACATAAAGCTGAATATACTAATGAATTCTTCTGGGCTCTGTGTGCTATCTGGAAATCTTACTTACATCGGAATTAAATATACCGAGTATATGCGAGTATCTTCCTCGTTCTTTTTCTAAAAATGTGAAAGCAATAAAAATTTGCCAATTTTTACATCGACCGAGGATACCACCGGGTCTCTATCGACGCTAATCGTTACTTTATACTGTCGCACTATATACATAAAAAAAGTCCTTCCTCCTACTTCATTCTGAAACTTACTTTGCCGCCTCGCATCGATTTCATCATCGGTGGCTACACGTACATACATATAGAATACGACGCTCGTTCTTTGCTCAGCCGCCCTATTTTGACGTCTATCGCTGACCGGGACCGATTCAATATTGTTTGCGTAACACGATGAGCGTATAGGAAACAAAGAAGACAAGAAGGAAAAACAACGCTGCAAGAGGGGAAAACGGACTATCATGTCATGTCACGTGGAGTAACGCTTGCGAGACACGCGATAACGAGTTAGCAATTAAAGTGTTTTCATTATTTCCTAAATGAACCGTCGGGCGAAACGGGAGATGCAAGAAATGCGTTTTCATATAAAGTCCGCCTGCGCGATTCGCCTCCGTTACTTCGAAACAGAGAGATAACTTTATTGGTAATGAGGGAGATCCGAGATCATCGTGCCCCGAAAAAAATTCCGCCGCTGGACTGGTATGCGTCGGTATATCAGTCAGTATACCAGTCGAAACTGGTATACGAAATCTTTTATTTGCTCTGTTCGCGAGTTTTCAAAACTTTTCATGCAAGTAACATGATCCCACTATTTCTGAAATATTTCGCGCGATTATCGGACAATAATGGTCGATCGATTTGAGGGTCTCTTGCGTGTTTCTCAAATCGATTGACACGTGTGCACCAAGTTAGAGGGGCTTCTCGCGAAGGGCTGACCGCGCATGAAATGCTTAAACGGTCCCTTAATTACATTAGCGACGTATGTACCTAATTCGAAAGCGGCAGCGCTTTTTAACACAATTCTGACCCCGCGATCCCTCAAATTAAAATCGATCGAGGTCATCGCTTGTTTCCACCCGATCTCGCTCGACGATTAAAGAAACCGTCGGTGAATTGATACGCGTTTTATCGTGCGCCGCGGTTAAGCAACTCCCCACGACGGTACGGAGCACGAGAGGAGCGATTCTTCTCTCTTTCTCGAGCGATAAAACAATGCCCGACGCGAGTCTCCCAATCCGGACGCGTGTGTACGCGATGGGGGTAAGGAGCTGCCGCCCGTCGCGCTTTCCCTGACCTCTCTTAATTAATGTGCCCGTAAAGCGGCGATATCCGTCGGAGAAACAACAAACCGACAGCCGCGGTTGGTTGTGTCTATCGTAGAAGTATTAAACCGCGTTATCGCCCGTCAAGCGATTGCTCGCTTGCGTCAGGCGAGTGATCGCTCTTGGCGCGGCCTGTTTTCACCCTCGTGATCGGAAATAAAGGAGGCAGTGTCGCGAACAAAATAACAGAGTTTCGCGGGGTAATTGAGGGAGGGACCGATAAGGGAAACCGAATTTTACGCACTTCCGAGTCACTGGCAAGATCGGTACTTCCTACCTCCGTCCCATGTCTAATTATTATTAGGCCAATTTCTCGCGTCGCGATTCCATTCGAATTTCTGGTTCTTGAACTCCAACTGGCTCGTGATATATATTTTATTCATATTACATAGCTAGAATTAAGCTTTTAAGCTTTTTTCTGTAAATTTTTCTCTGTAGATATACAAAGCCTTTTACAAAATCTTTTGTCTAAATCTTTGTCAAGTCAATGTGACTAATCGTTCTGTCGTTCTTTATAGATGCCTATCCAAACAACGTGTATCAGTAGGGATTCAACTCGATATATAATTATAGAATAATTGTTAATTACATGTCAATATATACCTCGTTGAATAAATCCAGAGTTTAAAGAAGAAAATCTTATGTATAAAGTTAAGTCGTTTAGTCTTATTTATTTTCCGAATTATAAATGAAAGGAATCGCTCGAATTGCCTGTCGTCAATCATGATTTTATACATATTAAACATTATTGCTATAGACATTGTCATTTTAAATGAAATACATAATTATATATTTAACAATAATTATTATAATTAATAATTAATATATGTATAATAACATTAATAACAATTATTATTAATAACAACACGTATACACATATGCACATGTATATGCATACGTGGCTGTAGAAGATCACTCGCTTTATATGTGGAGCACCTAAAAATACAATTATCACTGGCAGGTTTGCCAAAATGCTCCGTCATATTCTGACGCTATCGGGCACGACGATTGCATTGTACCAGCGAGCTTGAATTAAATCCTCTTGCGAAATAGCGACAGGAGGGTGCCGCATCACGAGTATGTGAATGATCGCGGAGAATCGCGCGCGACGAGATAATTCCCCCGTCTCAATCTTAATCTCCCTCCCTCTACTTTCAGGTTGTCGCGGTACACGTCGACGCCGGCATCTTCGACTCGTACTACAACGGATGCTGCAATGGAACCTTCTGGCCCCTCTTCCATTCTATGCCGGATCGGGCGACCTTCATCGCGGAACACTGGCGCGCGTATTCCGCGGTCAACGAACAGTTCGCCGCGAAGACAGTACGATTCTGTGCTTTTTACAACGATTATCGATCGCGCCTTTGCAGTCTGAGAATATCCTTTCCATCGGACTTCATTAATTCGCGTCCCGCAATTTCCGGCTTTTATAATTTAATATTTCTACTTCAGTAAGATGCAAACGTAGTAAAAACATTTTAATTATCTTTACCGTTCTCACACTGGAAAAAGAAATTACAATATAAATTGCGAGATAAATGTATGATAATTATAAAAAAATACTATGTTCAATATCCTCGTTAGGATCGTAATAAATTAAACGATTTCTCAGCTCTCCTGAATATCGGATGATTCTGTCTGACGCAGGTCGGCGCCTTGGAACAAATTCACAAGGAACAAGAGAACCAGCAGAACGGTACGCCGTTGGTGTGGGTTCACGATTATCATCTGATGTTGGCCGCCAATTGGATCAGACAGGCGGCCGAAGAGAAGAATCTCAGGCTTAAATTAGGTTTCTTCCTTCACATACCCTTCCCGCCGTGGGACATCTTCAGGCTGTTCCCGTGGGCCGACGAGATCCTGCAGGGTATGCTGGGTGAGTGATCTGATATCGCGTATATAGATTATCTCGGACAGCTTCAATCGCATATAATTTCTAACATTGCTTCTCTTTGTGGCAACGATTTAGGATGCGACATGGTGGGTTTCCACATTCAGGATTATTGCCTGAACTTCGTCGATTGCTGCCAGAGGTGTCTCGGCTGCAGAGTGGACCGTAAGAACCTGCTGGTCGAACACGGCGGTAGAACGGTGCGGGTAAGACCGCTGCCGATCGGTATACCGTTCGACAGGTTCGTCTCGTTGGCGGAGACCGCGACGAAGGTCATGCAGTCGAATCAGAAGATCGTCCTCGGCGTCGACCGGCTCGATTACACGAAGGGCCTCGTTCACAGACTGAAGGCCTTCGAGATGCTGCTGGAGAAACATCCCGAGCATCGCGAACAGGTGATTATCTAATGTCGCTTGCGCGCGAGTTCTCGCTTCGCAAAGTAATTGCCGACCTTGGTAACAGAGCCTGTAAACCGATCATATTCACGTTACTTGGCTTATGTTAGGTGACGATGCTTCAAATCGCAGTACCCTCACGCACGGACGTCCGTGAGTATCAGGATCTGAAGCTCGAGATGGATCAGCTGATCGGCTGCATAAACGGTCGCTTCACGACGCCCAACTGGTCGCCCATACGCTACATCTACGGCTGCGTGAGCCAGGACGAGCTGGCGGCGTTCTACCGGGACGCCGCCGTCGCCCTCGTCACGCCGCTCCGGGACGGCATGAATTTAGTCGCCAAGGAATTCGTCGCATGTCAAATCAACACGCCGCCGGGCGTGCTGATAGTGTCGCCGTTCGCCGGGGCCGGCGAAATGATGCACGAAGCCTTGATTTGCAATCCTTATGAGATCGACGAGGCCGCGGAGGTGATTCACAGGTACATGACTGCCCGTTTCAATCGTAACGGAATTGAATAGAGTATAAATTATATGCATTATTCGAATCGAAGTTTCACTTTTCCGTACTTTGTAATCTAGTTTTAATTAAGATACACTTTGATCCATGAAGTGAAAACTGATTTAAACGCTGGGACTTTAAATAGGGCGCTAACCATGCCCGAGGACGAACGCACGTTGAGGATGAACCATCTACGCCGACGTGAGAGGATATACGACGTCAACTACTGGATGAAGTCCTTCCTCCAGGTGATGGGATCCCTCGAGGAGCACGATTCCGTGGGCGCTACCACGATGCAGCCCGTGACCATGGATGATTTCGATGATTATTTGAGCAAGTAGGTATCAGGTCTGTTAAGAGATGTGCATGACTGGGCCCGACCAGCGCATGCGCATGAAACGGGAGATATCCGGTAAGGTGTATGCAAATGTATACATAAGTAACGAGTGTTGCGCGAGATTATTATTATCTTGAGCTGATTAGCGGTTCTGCGAAAGAAGCATTTTCAAGGAAAAAAAAAGTCTCATTGCATTCGATCGACCTTAGATCGAATTCGTTAAGATATAGTATTAAGTAAATCAGCTACGCTTCTACGTATGTAAGTGATTATATTTTTAAACTGAGCATGAGTTTGGGTACGTCGCAGAGCGTGATGATATGATGCGGCTATGCTTATGACGTCGTCGCCGATGGCGGTGACGATGAATTACAATGCACTCTCTTGCTATGTGAGATGTATTGATCCTAAATACCCTGATCCAAGCATCCCCACGATCTGTAAAATGGGGTGATACGAGAGATCGAGGAAATGCTTTTACAAAAGAGGGCGGGCCCGCGCGAGCGAGTGTTACCTGACTCATGACGAAAGCCGGATAACGATCCAGTGACAACCACATGTCCCCTAGGTACATCGGTGATAATCATAAATTGGCGCTTCTGTTGGATTACGACGGCACGTTGGCGCCGATCGCCACGCATCCCGACCTGGCGATCCTGCCGCTCGAGACGAAGAACGTCCTGCAGAGGCTGTCGAACATGTCCGACGTTTATATCGCGATCATATCGGGTAGAAACGTGAACAATGTGAAATCGATGGTCGGGATAGAGGGTATCACGTACGCCGGGAACCACGGGTTGGAGATCCTGCACCCGGACGGCAGCAAGTTCGTCCATCCGATGCCCGCCGAATTGGAGGACAAGGTGGCCAGTTTGATGCAAACGCTTCAGGATCAGGTACACTAAATCACTATTCTTGTAATATAAATGTGGATATGAATGTGATAATGATGAATTGTGTCGCTTAGAACGTTTTTCATTGATAGAAGATGATGGATAGTCCGTAATGACTATCATTAGCGGTGCTATCTGTTTAATAAATATTAAATATTTAACAAATATCACGCGAAATCATAAACATACATTCTTTACACTTATCCCGATAAAATCAACATATTTACGTGTCTTGTCTATTGATAGCTCTGCAGGGACGGCGCTTGGGTCGAGAATAAAGGTGCGCTTCTCACGTTCCACTATCGCGAAACTCCGATGCAGGGTCGCCCGAAGATGGTCGATCAGGCTAAAAGACTTATCGAGGGTGCGGGGTTCAAGGCGTGCACCGCGCATTGCGCCATCGAGGCGAAGCCGCCGGTCGAATGGAATAAGGGTCGTGCTTCCATCTACATCCTGCGCACGGCGTTCGGTCTAGATTGGAGCGAGCGTATCAGGATTATATACGCTGGCGACGACGTCACGGACGAGGACGCGATGAAGGTACGAAACCGATCGATTCTGTCGCTCTCGTTTCAACGAAGATATCTTTTAGTCCATCAAAAAAAAAAAAAAAAAAAAGACATTCGCATTAACGTGTGTTTATCATCACGGGAATCTTTTCGTTTCTATCTAGGCACTGAAAGGTATGGCCGCTACTTTCCGCGTCGCGTCGTCGCATATCATCCGCACGTCCGCGGAGAGACGTTTGCCCAGCACGGATTCGGTTCTGACGATGTTGAAGTGGGTCGAGAGGCATCTCAGCAGACGCAAGCCGCGCAACAGCATCGACATCCCGGGCATCCCGTCGCGATTCCGGCGCGGCAGCGGCGGCATCACGATGGAGATGTCCTACACCCCGCCAAAAACGCCCCTCGAATCATAAGGCGATGCTCAAAATGTGTCCCGCACCCCCGTTAGCATATCAGGTATATACCCGGCGAGATATATATCTATCGTAGGATTATAATGTACTACTCGTAGCGTAAAGTCAGCCTACATATAGACGGAGGAGCAAGAGGTAATCGAAGGGATCGCCGCGAGCAATTCGAGAGCAAGTAAGAGCTAAAAAGAAGTTAACGAGGCCCCACGCCTAAACTCTTACGTCGAGTATAACGCCGTTCAAGAGACTGTCGTGATCGGAAAGTCTAAAGAAACGAGATGATTCTTTCTAATTGAGAAGTGTAATAACGATATTGCATTACCATAATAATGCAATGGAGTCGCCGAGTCGAGAAATAAAATAACGAAGAATCAAATCGTTACGTTGACTCTCTAGCATTTAACTATCGATGTATTTCTTCCGATACCGGTTAGACCTTAGCCCGAGAAAAATATCGAGCTCATGCACGAGGCGATATCGCGATAAACAGTTTTTCCGTGCGACTTAAAAGTTTTCCTTTGGCTCTGCACAACAGAAAGATGTATATATATTATATATATATATCTATATTTTCGATGTACGTATTTCTTGCCAAATTTATAATTGTATCATGTGGAACACGATACGTATGTTTCTCCGCGGAGATGTAGCATTTAAACACACACAAAAAATGAAGACAGACATTCGGCAGACAACAGCGAAACCTCGCATATTACATTTTATTACTTGCGTTTTACCTCGTTAACGATTTCGGTAGCATAGATATGACAAGATATGAAAGGACACTTTTCTTAGGATACGAAACGTGTTTCTACGAAAGCATTTTTTCTCTTTGAAAATATTCTAATTAATTTATTTGTTTTTTCTTCCTCTTTCTCCTCCTTAATGTTTTCAATGACGGCCAGCTGCACCACGAATATTAGAAATAGTGACCGTTAGCCTTCGGACAAGCGTGACACTATATACAAAAGATCTTTTATTAGATTCTGTCGTTTTTCCAAGAAAAAAAAAACGCGAGATAGATACGAGTTCATCTCTGATATTAAAACTACTAGTCTTCCTAACGCAGCAATCGGAATTCTTCGTGTCTAAGAATAGAAATTTAGTTTACAATATTAGATTGCCTACTTATCGTACAGTGCCGCAATCGAGTCCAGAAATGGAGTGCCAATGCAATTTGTATTTTTGTGTCGCGCAATTTACGGCAGAAATGATATCGACATAAATAGTAATGAAAGAACTCTATAACTTTCAGGAATAAGAACTTTGCGATCTGTGAATCTACAGCGGACGCATAAAACTTGCGATAAACGAATGATTTCGTGCGAGAGAGAAGCGAGAAAAAAAAAGCAAAATCTAAGTGAAGTAGGTTAAAGAAATACTAGATTTTACACTTTTTCTAAGTATAGAATAAGATATGCGATGTGTGTAAAGGAAAAAAGAGGTGAAAGAAGGTTACTGGTATTTATATATACTGGTACATAGTTGCTTCGGTTGTGCGTCGATTAATGATAGTGAGTAAGAAACGCGCGCGCGGCTTACATTAGGATCTATGCCTTCTACGTATATCTACGTAAAAGATATGTGTCGTTGCGCATCTCTCTCCGTGCCGCTGGATAATACCGACTACAAACTGGTACAAACTGGTATCCGTCTCTTGTCACATGAGCTTGTTTTGAAGACTGCGAAACTTTCTGAAAGTGACTCGGTCACTATATAGCTGTACAAAACGCAATTTGATAAGTCACGATGGCAGGCGTCTTCGAAAACGTGGCGAAATTTAGCGATTTTAACAGATTAAGCAAAGATAGAGGTAGATTCGTTCTCGAGACGAAATTGTACACACGAAAAATATATTATTTATTAAAAATTACGAACACCTTATATAAAAGATTACTTCGGATTAATGGCCATTTTATTCTTAGCTTTGTTTTGAAAAACGGGCTCTTAAATTCGTCTCCTTAAAGTGGTAAACGTCGCGTTTTGTTCTGCAATTCTTTTCCCTTACGTAGCTTCTCCCCTATTTACCTCTTTAATCCGCTTAGCGCGTTTTTTCTTTTCATCTGCCACCCGCAACACGAGTCGGAAACGAACCCACAGAGAATAAATTAAAGTTCATTTGTTTATCGATAAGTCGAGACGTAATTATTTTGTCGCTAGTTGCGCACGAAGCAAAAGGAGTTTAGCGGTCGAAGGGTTGCGTAACGCCTAATGGAGTGCGATTAGCAATTAAGCATGTATATCAACTGTATCGGTATCTCGGAGGCTTCGGCGCGTTGCACGAGCGCAGGTCAGATTCTATAATCTCGTACTTTCGCCACTGTATTTATTAGTCAATTATAATAATCGCCGGTCAATAGATAAGCGGGCGAGACGGCTGACGATTAGACGGACGAGGGAGAAGAGGAAACGAAATGGAAAAAAAAAACGGCAATCAATAAGGAAAGTGTATAGGCACAAAGCGAGATATAAAATTACTGTTACATCGAGTTTACGCCTATCGGAAATACATAAACGTTCCCCCTGTTGAAAGTATAATATAGAAAGAAAAAAAAATGTGTATGTATATAACGAGATCTATATATGTTTAAACGTATACGCGTTTCGCGCGCGTACAAAGTCCTACCACGTGCCCTTAAAAAGCCTCAACCCTACAAAAATCTCAACTCCCCCCCCTCCCTCCTACCCCGACCCCTTTGAAAAAAAAAGAAAGACCAAAAAAACAGATAGAAATATTCTACGTTTTGTATGAGTACTTAGTTTTTACCTCGTTATACGTTACCACTGTAGGTGTGTATAAAACAAAACAAAAAAAGAACGAATCGCGCGAGATAGTGCACGGGGTAAACGATTAAAACTGTTTTGCTCCCGTCATTGTCGAGCCGACTGCAAAATACACAGCGCAGAAATAAACAATGTTTATAAATCATTCCCGCGCGTTCTTCCCTTTTTTTTTTCCACGCTACGCGCTACCTAGATCCGCTTTGGACGATCTGCGATTGGCGTTCAGAATACAATTTTGTTTGTAATTTTGTATGTCGCGTAACACGAGAGAGATATACTTGAAGAATTAAAATACACGTATACATAAAATATATACGCACGTATAAATACTATAAAATTACAAAGTGGTATTCTATTTTCAAATCTGATGCGAATTATATAGACTGTTTAAAACGGACTCTTGCAAACATGCAATTCCGAGAGCGCACAGATACTAAGTTTCATTTTTTAAAAATGTAAATAAATCAAATCATTTTAATTCCGAGTAAAGCAAGCTTGAAATTATCGTGTTGAATTTGGTCCACTTGTATTTTCAGCGATTTAATCCATGATGAGATCTGATGAATAATCAAACATTCTCGAGTCTGCAAATTAGATAAACATGAATAAATATTACCTCATATAGAGATTAAACTTCTCTCGAGAATTGACTATTTCTCGGAAGCTTGCGAACTTGTCGATTCTCACGCAACAGTTGTAACGAGGCACGAATTTTACAATTTTTCTTTTCCCCTCGCAGGTGCTCCGCTCCGATTGCCGCGGTACAGCCGTGGTATTATTCGCGACGGCGGCGCGGCGCGCGACCGTGGGTGTTTGCGTGCGATTTGATCGAGAGAAAAAACTGCCCGCGTTCCTCCCGCCTTCCAGGAATTTCATATTTCTGCTCCGGCAATAAATAACGATAGAACCGCCGGGCCGCGATATCGCCGTTTGTGTATCGCCGTTATTTTTCACGGCGTAACCTCTGATGTTGAGACATATCTCAAGCCGGCGATTAAAAGTGTTTTTTTTATAAACCGATGTCACCGATGCGTGCCCGAGAGCGCGGAGCCGAGCAAGGCGGGACGGAGCGGAGCGGAGCGGTGACGCAACGAACCGTTACGAGCGACGGCGGATAATAATAATCGACGCGGTAGGAGAAACGAGATCGCGGGAAAACACACGCGGATTTTTACTATATTTTTTTTGTTTATTGTTTCCTAATCGATTCAAGCGAACGAAGTGTTAATATCCATTTATACTTTCGATTCTCTATCGAATAATATCGGGATACGTATTTTTTTTAGTAAAATGTTACGAATGAAGTGTAACGTGAAGCCGTTGTCTTTTTAATAAAAGCAAATAATCGTTTTAAAGTGATTAAAAGTCCGTTTTACATAATCTATACGTAATTAAGATTTCAGATTCTAAGATAGAATTTTATTTATTTATATATACCGCATTTTGATATTTGATATTTATATATCATATTGTATTTTGGTATTTTACGCAAATATTTTAATATGTATTTCATATATACATATATATTCCGTTTCTCTTTAAATATTTTTCATATTACACGATAATAAAAGCAATAAAATTTTGTTCTGAACTGTCTGACGAATTATAGATTATGTAGAATGAGCATTATAATTCTATGTGCATTACACAATAATTCTATTTTTACATACGTGCGTATTTTATATGTTTTACACAGTTATGTATTCTGATACTCTTTTTTTTTCTTCTTATACGCTACACAAAGCTAGAATTTTATTCCAAATTTTGATACGAATCATAAATTTAAAGCGGGCTTTATAATTTCATGTATCGTATATTTTGATATATATTTTACGCATATAGTTGCGTATTCTGAGTCGCTCGCTTTAAATATTTTTCGTATTATACGACACAAAGGTAAATAGAATTCTATTTTGTATTATGGATTTTAAAGTGGCCTCGGGACGAACCGTGATCCTCTTTCTCGCGTGTCACGTGGCTATATGCGAATTAAGACGTGCGTGGAAGGAACAACTTCGGCGAAGGGGTTCCCTTGTGTGCGCGCGCGCGCGCGCGCAATCAAAGAAGAAGGGTCCTCGATTTCCAGCCCTTTGAAACCGAAACGGGCCCTCCCTTTCGACGACCGTGTCGATCTCGAGTTGGAAACATCCAAATATTTTCATTAGACGGACCCGTTTTGCGAAGGGTGGACCGCGCTATTTTCGCGGAGGTTTCTTTTCACGAGAAATCGATCTCGGGGGGAGGCCAATCGGGGGGCTGTACCTTTCACGCCGAGGATCCTCCGCTACGCGAGATCCTTGGCTGAAGAAGGATCCCGGAACGATCCTCGCGCAGTCGCTGCATAAAGAGGCGGATTACACGGTGTCCATTTCAAGACGTACAAGGAACTGGTGTTTGCGGTAAGTCTTCCTCTCTGTCTCTCTCTCTCTCTCTCTCTCTCTCTCTCACTCTCTTTCTGTCTCGCTTGCTCTCACTCGTTCTCCTTCCCTCCTTCGTTGCAGCCTCCGCGCATCCTGCGGGCGTATACCGAGCCGGTAGGGGCATTATCTTCGCTGTTTTGCCGATTCAATTGTGTGTGCGGTGAAAGGCGGCGTTTAACAAGAGTTTAATAAAAGGCAAACAGCGCGGGATCGTCGGTCGTCCTCTCTCGCGAGCCATCCTCGTTTCTTCCGCTCCCGCGCGCGCGAAATCGTTCCCTTTCTCCGTTTCTCTCTCTCTTTCTCTCATTCCTCTTTCTCACTCTGTTTTCTCCCTCTCCCTCCCCCGCCCCCGCCCGTCGTACGTTCTTCCTCGAAGGGATTACCCGGGAAAACCCGGGGCCTGTCGGTCTGAAGAAAAGAGGGAACACACACGCGAAAGGAAAGAGATTCGAGAAAGAGATCGCAGCTGCCACGCACCGATTGGCCCGACCCAAAAAAAGTAGCGATTTCTCACTGATGGCTCTTCCCCATCGTATTTCTGTTTTCGCTGATCCGCGCGGGCGGACGGACGGGGAATATAGAGCGGTGTGTATTCCCGTGGATATACAGAGAGGAAGCCACACGGGGCGAGCGGATGGACAAGCGTGTTCCGTCGATCGCGACGGAGAGCCGCGCTTTGGAGAACTCGTCGGTCGGACAGCTTACTTCCAAAGCGTCTTAGGTTTCCCCGTAGAAATATGAATAAATTCCCGAATAGAGCGACTCCGTACGAGCGTATTAATCCTGCAGCCGCGTAGTTTCGTTAAAAGGTATAAGAAGCGTCCAGGACATTTTTATATACATAAATGCAGATTTGTAAAGGGTATTAGCTCGGGAAGTCAATCGCAAGATTTTTCATTCTTCAATTCTTCTACCGTCGGCGACTCAGTATCAAGTATCTTTATTTCCTTTATAACGTTTCCTTATTACAAGTAAAGTAACACTTCGCACCGCGTATCTTTAAAGCAGACTCGATATATCCTTGGAAGAAGAATATCTTCTTCTCTTATTTCTAAAAAGGTCGACTCGTGTTTCTCTCTTCCCTCTTGCCCGATAAAACGTCTGCGAAACTCAGCTGTTCAATTATCGCTCGAAGACGTTCGAGGCACCTCCACCCCTTGCCTCTTCCCCCTCCCCCCTCACTAAAAAAAAACCGATCTCGATCGATCGTTAAACCGCAAAATCCGCCCCTTCTTTTCTTCTATTTTTTTTTCTCTCTCTCTTTGCGCCGCGCTCAGCAGAAACGGGCGCGGACTAAGTAAGTCAGTAACCCAGTGGAAACTCGCCCGGGGCGACCACCTCCATCACCCCCACCTGTCCCCCGTCCCCTCCTCTGTCGATCGATCAGTTCTGATGTAATTATCCAAACGTTGAATTTTTTATCGCGGTGAAACAATAACGCATTTTCAGAGCAAACAGCATCGCTCACCGGAGGCTGCGGAGGCAGCTCGCGCCGCTCTGGGGGTACCCGCGTCGTCCGCTTGTGCCCTCGGTGTTTACGCAACGTGTAATAGAATAATCTGCGCGTTACACGGGGTCGGGGGGGGGGTTAAAGGGGTGGAAGAGGGAGGGAGCTGGGCGAGGGAGTGGGCGATGCACCGCGGGGCAGAAGTACCGCGGCACATCTTTGTTTACCGCGCGCCATCGGTTCCCGGAAACATCTCTCGTCACGCGAATTTGCGGAAGAATGGTAATCGCGCGATAAAACGTGCTTTTTTTATCTTCTCTCCTCGTCCAGTCCCGCCGCTAGTTTCCGTACCCCGCCATCGCAATCGCCGACCCTTCGACTGCGAATGTTGTCGACCGAAAAGAGATTTCTGCAAGTAGTAAAAGTAATAAGAAATGCTTCAGGTTAAAAATCTCGTAAGACAATAATCCTTTTTTGTTGTTATAATTTATAATCTCTAAATTTATTTAAATTATTTTTAAGTAAAAAATCGGCTGAGACTTGCTGATTGACAATTTTCAGATTTTTTTAAATAATAGTGGACAACTTTAAAGAGCATTTTCATTTTTAAAATAAAAATCGGTTAAAATTTCCCGGTTATTAATTGATTCCAAATAAATTTTATAAATTGTTTGAATTTGTAAGGCAATTTCCTAGAAGAATATTTTTATTTCGAAAGAACAAAGTTTATCGAAATGACATTTTATCAACTTGCACCATAATTATAATCAACAAGTAAAGTATCAACATCATCTTTGTACGGTTACGAAACACGAAATTTCCAACGTGAATATAACGTATAATGATATTTTGAATAATCATGTTAATTTCGTGCCTAGGTATATTTTTCTCTAATTTTAACAGAAAAACATGCATCTTGTTGAGAATGATTTTCCGAACGAAATATTAAAGGCTGTCCTTTATCAGCCGTTTAATACCGCTATCACCTCCAATTATAAGCCATTCCGGCTATTAACTCGCACCTCCGGATTTAATCATTATGCCTCTGTACAATCGCGTTGTATTGTGCGCCTGTATAATGTGCCATACAATATTATGCTATTATACGGTTTACGTTGATAAGTTAATGCGCGCGTCGATAGAAAATCTTACGCTCTTACGTTAGCTTCACGCGGGTTGTTGTTCAGCGACGAATGGGGAAAAACGATTCCCGGCGAAACGCGTCGGTGTTTCCTCTAACGCGGCGAACGGCGCGTCATTCGAGAGATGGCAAGGCGG